TCTCTACACTTTTCATATGTTGTTTTATTTATTTATTCTTTACTAGATGTTCCCCGCGACTTCGCCCGATTATTACGATTGGATTTCATGGGTTTTAATTTTTTGCGCGGAACCCTAATTAGTTTTCTAAAATAAAAGTAGCCTAACTCCTTATAACATCAGCTATCTGTCAGTGAAAGTCCGGTCAAAATCGGTTCAGCCGTTTCGGAGATTAGCCGGAACAAACATACAGACAGACAGACAAAAATTTTAAAAATCGTGTTTTTGTTATTAGTACAAAGTTGTAGTAAAAAGTTGTTATTTCGACATTACAAACAGACACTTCAATTTCATTTATTTGTATAGATTTATATAGATTATACATTAAAATACAGAAAAAAGGGTAGAGTTCAATCTAAAGTATAATGTGTACAACAGGCGATCTTATCACTCTGAAAGTGTGTTGTTTTATGTTCGTTTTCAAACTATTTTACATAGATCAAAGTAATTTTTTTATAGGATAAGAGTGCCAAACGAGCTCATAGTCCAACCGGTGGTGAGTGGAGACTTCGGCCATAGACATATATATATATATATATATATATATATATATATATATATATTTATCTTCGACAACGCATCTACATTTTGATTCTCAAATCAAAATGCAGATGCGTTGTCACCCTTGGAACTAAGATGGAATGCCTCGTATCCAGTAAAAAGAGTCTTCGGTCACCATACGAAACACAGCAGCATTTAGCTGCTCTTCACTTTCAACGCAGTCTTCTATCGCCGCATTTTCATTGTGTAAATTTTATTAAGACTCAAGACGACGTTATGAAATTTGTTTCTGAAAGCACCCGGCTCTCATCAGCGACGCTTGTGCTTTTACTCTGGCTTATCATTTCGAGTATATTCTATCAATTGCTTTAATTAATTTACACTAATTTAAATAATGAGCTAAACTTAATACCAATGGATAAAGTTTCAAGGAGATTGATGTTAGTCTCCACATATTGCAACAGATTTGTTCTGTTTGCTAAGTTTGAGCAAAACTTCTTCCAAAATCCTTTCAAAATAGTCATAAGTAGCACATAGGGGTCTGTAAACACTTCAACAATGAGGTGCTCGAGCTCGACACAAGCCATTTCTACAGTTCGTTCAACAGAGAGGCTCACAATATCCTTACGTCCTTTATATAATAATGATTTATCTGCTAATATTAAGGAGCCGCCACGTAGATTTTTTTCTCTATTGAAGGAACTGACTACCTGGAGATTTCTGAAATTAAACATTAAATTATAATCTTTTAGCCAATGTTAATGATCAATATATAGAATGATTCAAGAGAAAGGTTTATATGTATAAAGCATGCACATTATACATTTATATTACATAATCCTTCTGTCCGTGATTATGTGACTAAACTCCTGAACGGCTGGACCGATTTTGATGAAATTTTGTGTGTGATTAAGTTGATTAGAAAATGGTTTAGATTCACAACTGGACCCTGTTGTCGAAATCACCCGTGCGAAGCCGGGACGGTTCGCTAGTTTTATATATTCTGTGACATTCCGACGGCTTGCATAAACCTATTTGATAGCTATTTTATATATGTGATAGATTTAAGTACATGAAGTTTCAGTTCAAATCACTTTTATAGCACCAAACTTTTTATAGCGCCATAAATAGGAAACTGTGCCCTATTTATGGTTTAATTTTCTTTTTAAAGCTATTTAATCTTCATCTTTAAAACTTATCGACCATATCTTGTAAACTCTCAGCCGTATTTACGTACAATCATTTCATACTATAATAAACTTTAAAATCGATTCTTGTTAACAACTTTTCGATTTAAGTTTTAAAGGCATTAAACATTTATTAAATTTGTACGAAAACTTTCGGAAAGGTATCAAAGTGTTAGCGCGTATTATTATTCACTTTATTTATACGTAACTAGCGATCCGACTCGGCTTCGCACGGGTGATTTCTGGATTTCGACAACAGATACACCTACCGGCTCTAGTTGTGAATCTAAGTCATCCAGAAACCCACATGCACACACACACACACACACACACACACACACACACACACACACACACACAAATTTCATCAAAATCGGTCCAGCCGTTTAAGAGGAGTTCAGCGACAAACACACGTACAGAATAATTATGTATATAAACTAACGATTCACCCCGGCTTCGCCTGGATAGAATCGTTATGTGACGTTATGTAGATTTAAGATAATCAACGACCATTTATTTTATCAATTTTTGGTTTCAAAAATTAAGTCGTTCTTATAAAATAAAACCTCGATCCAGCTTGACGTTACCCTCTATCTATTCGTAAAGTTATTGTGATATATAATCGGTTGTTTTAGGCATTCCGAAAATTAGCCCGGACTTACAGACAGACAGACAAAAAAATTTTTGTTTAAATAGTATGCAAATAACTTCCTGAGCCGAATGGAAGCCAGTTGTTTCAATATTACGTAATATTTATGAGCATATCATCTTATTTTTGTTTTCATTATCCACTACATACAACGACATAATTACAACCGAGTAGCTCTCGCATATTCACTGACTTAAGATAACACCGGCTCGACAAGGCTTTTAGCACCATACAAAAGTTTTCGCACTCTCTTTAAATGCTACTGACTTCCGAAAGGGGTAGTTTTTCGATGTAGGGTTGTTTACTATTAATTATAAAATGGTTGGCTTTTTTGTTTTATAATTTGTGCCTACGTCTAAACAGGCATAATATTTTTAAAACACGTGATATGTTAAAGAAATATTATTTTTGACAGTATACTTATGATCAAATATTAAAAAAAAATCTTACCTCTACACCAGGATTTTCTCTTGTATCGTGGGAACAGTTTATATACATAAATTTGACTAGGACAAACATCAGACCCGAAACAATTATTTGTAGGCCGTAAAAATACTTCCGTGCGGGATTCAACCCGCGGCCCTTAGCGCTGTAGCTCATTGCTACGCCACTGCGTCCTGGAGCCGTCTAGTAAAAACGTAAATACGTTACTCGTAAGAGTAACGTATTTACGTTTTTACAACTAACGTATTTACGTGTTTACGACTAACGTATTTACGTGTTTACGACTAACGTATTTACGTGTTTACGACTAACGACCTGTTTTGTTTGTTTTGTTATATTTATAATTTTCTAATCTGCCGTTATTTAGATTAAACATAATCAAATACCATTTATTTTATCAATTTATCGTTTCTTCAAAAAAAATATCCCAAGTTTTTCTGTTAAATAGACTAGATCACTCCTGGCATTGCTCTCTTTCTGTTCGTGAAGTTTAGAAGATTAACCGAGACATACAAACTGACAGACAGGCTTACAAAATTTAAAAAAAAATTGTTAATCATGTCTTAATGACATGCAAATAAACACCTTCAGCTAAAAAGGCAGCTATTGCGATATTACAGACAAAAACTTCAATTTTATTTATAAATGTTGTTCATACCAAATTTAGCGGAACAGAACGGAACACTTATGGAAAAAGCTTGGTGTCTGTCAGTCACAGAGGTTTTCCTTCAAGAGACCGATTTTAAGGTCGATTTCAAAAAACGAACAGCTTCTCAATTCGAGTGTATTTTCTTTGTATGTGCGAGTATGCCACGCGATATCTTAGGCAATAATTGTGAAACGATTTTTATGATCCCTTTTTATATTAAATAGGTTTGTACCTTAAGGGTGGTCTCACTAAACTTTCATAGCATTTTTAACAACATTCTAATTGTAAGATTGATACATATTATGATATTCCTAAGTCTAAAGGGTCAAATAATTAAACTTTAAAAAAATCACAAACAATCGTCGTTTGAAAAACAACAAAAATAAAAATAATCTCCACACAACAGGATATAGTGTGTCGAGGTATTAAAGTCCGGATTTAAGAAGCTATTATTGGTAACCCTGCGGGCGTTCCCTGGCATGTTGTCTTAGCTAATGGTCTGTAGGGGACTGCCGCTAACACCACTCCATCGGGTAATGTAATTGTCTTTTGTGTCATCTGCCTCTTTGTGTTTCTTTGTTCCTGCTTATCTCATCTACAAATAATACATGGTTAAAGTCAATGTGGTTGGTTAATTTTTTAATTCGGGTCATTTACACTAACAATATGTTTGTTGTCTTTAAGTTGATATTAATATTTTTATAGTAAGTATATAGATAGTGTTTTTTATACAAAACTAATTGATATTGAGTGTGCCTAGTCATTTTTAAGAAACAAAATCGTCGTAGTTGGCGTGTACTGATGACTATCAAGAAAATGTACTATTTTTTTTTAAATATTTCTTTTTATTATGTTAAAATATAGTCGTAGAGTTGCGGCGTAAGGGAATCAACTACCTCATATCATCCCAGGGGTGTCGTGAGAGGCGACAGAGGGAAATGAAATAGGAGATGGGTAATAGCACAGATCATAAAAATTCTATGATCTGTGGGCAACAGTATCTTCCTAATGAAAACACAAAATAGATAAACTGCGGTTCTACCCCGTCTGCCAAATGTGGCATCTATGGCAAATATCCTCCCTATGAGTGTAATGTAGTGAAGACTTATATCTGTAATGATGACGATGATGATGATGTTATAGTAATGTAAGAGATAAGAAATTTAAAGTTGTTTCAAAAAGTATTTTTGTTTTAATATCAAATAGCCTCAGCATAGATGTTTTCAAAATGCTATACCCTAAATGTTTTCAAAAACCCGTAAACACTTCCTACAATCGAACTGATAGGTAATTTGTTCAGTGTATTTAATGCATGTTTATGTATTGCATAATTTATCTATTATTACGTTTAAACACACAATAATTAATTCTTAATTTGTATACTTTTAGTTTAAATGAACTAGTATTTAATTTATTTATAATTTAAACAAAATTATACTGTTACACATTCGTCTTAACTTTTAGTGATATTCCAACAGAATATTATATTTTATGATAATTAAATTATAATAAATTTATTATCACTCCGCAGGTACTATATGACGGCAAGTTGTCGTCTGCCATAGTGTTCATGTACAACCCGGTTGCGACAGACGGACAACTGTGCTTACAGTCGGCTCCCAAGGGAAACGTCTCCTATTTTGTTCATACGCCGCATGCGCTGATGCTACAGGTTTGACAAACATCTACCTATTAACTTATGATATTGGATTAACTGATTACCAGAAATAAAAAGATATACATAAGTAGATTTTTCCGGACCGATAAGATTTAGGGACCTTCTAGAAACGAGCTTATTCCTTTTTAAAACGCCGGCAAGGTTCCTGTAATTACCCTGGTGTTGCAGTTGTTCATGGGCGGAGGTCAACACTTACCGTAAGGTTAGCCGCAAGCTCGTTTGCTCGCTCTTCTATATGAAAAAGATAAATTTGAGAATATCTCTTTATGTATATCTTTAAAAAATATATCAAAACATGACGTAATGCTTATGTCATTCGATTTGACTAGGAAGCGTATTTTTTTAAATCCCAAAAACTATATTTTAGACTTATATATTTTCTAATGATTTGTAAAAATTTAACTATCGATTTCATTACCTATAATTAGCAGTTGCCAACAAATTCAAAAGATATTTTAGATATAAATATACATATAAATATACTTATAAATATACATATAAATTTACTTATAAATATACTTAAGACCCAGATAGGGCACCGGCGGCGAATTCGGTCATTTACCATTGACATAATATAATGTGTAGCCTTTTATATATTATAAAGTTTCGGATTGGGAACGACTGAATCTAGTACAGTTTAACTTTCAGAAGATTTGGCGTGTTTACTGCTAAAAAGAACCCCTTTGTCGTATCGTCTCAATTTCAAGGCTCCCTTCTGCCTCAGCGAGCTTGGAATCCTCGGCGTCGACATATCGAATGACGTACAGTTCTGCGGTCACTTGGAAGGGAAGACTAAAATGTGCTATTTCGTTTGCAAATATCGACTGTCTGAAGTGTCTGATCTGTACGTTAAAAGTCGAGCGATTATCGGTCGCCAGTGGCAGCTACTCGGCACTCACTGAAGCCCAGCACCTTAAACGTTGGAAATAATTGCCGCGAAATTATCCGACCGTAGGCACCGCCGGCACTTTATTTAGGACCTTAGACATTTATGCTAGCCTGGTAGTGATGGGAACAGTAATCGACGTGTTGAATAAAACTTTGTTTTTTCTACAGGAAGTGAAAGCCGTGGTAACGCATTCAATTCACAGCGCATTGAATTCGATCGGCGGGGTGCAGGTTCTGTTCCCGCTGTTTGCACAACTGGATTTGCCGCACGATGCTCCCAGTTCTGATCCTAAACGGGACCCTATGCTTTGGTATGTTATCCTAGTATTCGTAACTATTTAGGTTATCCCTCACATTCATTTAATGTTTGTTTTTGAGGTAAATCTCCATTCTCTTCTTTAAATTATATATAATAGAAATATGAATGGTGGTGTTTGATTACGTATGTGTTAATTTTATATGCTTTTTTTTCTTCAATATTAGGCGCTGGGGCATGTACGGTTCCTACGGTGCCACGATTTGGTGGCGTTAAGAAATAATAACCGAAGTCGTACATAGTTTCCAAAACATTGCCCTTGAATAAATAATAATTATAGTCTTATTTTCAAAATTTCATATAGCTTCCACTAACGGGACACTTGTGTAATTTGGGTAATATTAAAGTTATCACTAAAAATTCTCTATTGCTTGCCTCGAAGAAAGTTTCATCGTGTACGTTCGGTCCGATCGGCTTGACTCACTGGTACTGCGTAGAGATGTTTCATCTCTTTGCGTATTTTATCGCATCTATTCACGAAAAGTGCTCTGAGGAATTGTTCGGACTAATTCCAGCCGCTCAATTTCACCATCGCACATCGCGACAAAACTTGCAATACCATCCATACCATCTGGATGATTGGCGGTCCACCACTGTGCGATTTAGAAGAAGTTTTCTTCCTCGCACAACGTTTTTGTGGAATCGATTACCACCTGCGATTTTTCGGGACCGATACGACTTAAGGACCTTATAGAAAAGAGCCTACTCCTTTTTTAAAAGGCCGGCAACGCATCTGCACCCCTGTTGTTGCAGTTGTTCATGGGCGACGGTAGTCACTTACCATCAGGTGAGCCGCATGCTGGATTGCCCCCTCTCCTATAAAAAAAAAACACCAAGTTGTAGTTTCATCGTGTACATCAAGACAGTTGTAACCCAATAGCCATCAAACTTGGCTGACAATTTAAACTAAATCACAGCTATAGTGAAGTTGGATATAAATTTGAAGACTGAGAACAATTCATTAATATTCCAAGTGGCTTTACCCGCATTAACCCGCTAAATGCACTTTCAGTGTCGCTTACTAATTGTTCCTTGAACTTCACCGCCATCTTGAAACGGTCGGGTAATAGCTATGAACTAACTCCTGACAACTTCTAATTGCCTGGCGTCGGCCCCGTTTAGTAGCAGGGTTGGATTTATAACAACGTTTATGGCGACAATAATTTATTCCTTAAGGCCTGGTATTTAAACTTTTTATATATAACAATTCAATTAGCAGCGATGGTTAACATTTTTTTGTGCTACAAATTAATCTTGGCATGACTTAATTACATGATTTGTTGTTCCTTGAGCTTTACTGCTTTTTAAATAAATTCCCAAGTTGTTCATTGTTCTTATAATTATAATTTTAGTGTTTTAAAGTGGCGGTAAACAAAACATTATGCGAAGCCGAGGCTAGAAATTTCATAGATAGGGCTATAGCAGTAGGATACAGGGATATCCGTGGCGCAGTGGCTTAGCAATGAGTTGTTGCGCTGAGGCGGCCCCGGGTTCGATTTCCGCACGGAACAAGTATTTGAATGGCCTACAAATAATTGTACCGTGTCTGATGTTTGTCCTCGTGCAATAGATGTCTATGGGCCACAACATCCACTTACCATCAAGTAGATAGACTGTGTGCTCGTTTGTCATCCTTATTCTATAAAAAAAAACTACAATACCACGTCAACTCAAACAGTAAATCCTCTTTTGTCAGTCTTACGTTCATCTTTACATAAAATATTAAAGTGAGACAATATACTTAAAGAAATTTCTATTCATGCTTCATAATCCGTCCATTAGGAGTGGAATCGGGATTAATGTTCACTTAGTTTGTTAGAAATATTATGTATAAAAAGAGCCGTGATAGCTCAGATGGTTAGCGCTCGCTGTAAATTTAACAGTTCAACAGTACGCGAGCAACCCGGGTTCGGTCCCCGTCGGCACCAATGAAATTGTTAATTGCAATTTTAAGTAGTGATTTACTACGTGCTAAGCGGTAAAGGAAAACATCGTGAGGAAACCTGCATGTCTGTTAAATAAGACAAAAATATTATTTCGAAGACATGTGAACATGCATTAGGCAGCGCGGCGGACACTTCCTTGCCCTAAAACCCTCTCAGAAATGAGAGGAGGCCTGTGCCCAGCAGTGGGACGTATATAGGCTGTAACTAATTATGTATAAAATATTCTTCTCATGAATATATATATATATATATATATATATATATATATATATATATATATATATATATATATATTAATGAAAAGTCTGCACATAATTATTTGTATCTAGTTTATTTTAATAAATTACGTTTTTTTTTTCTCAGCTAATATACATGCCTTATCCAGGCTTATTAAAATATTGTAGGTATCATAGTTTATAATTGTTTAAATACACTAAAATAGCATACCAATTTAAAAAAAAAATCTTTAATTTTTATTATGTTGCGCCATAATTTATTTTATTTATAATTAATATAATGTAATATTTAGAACTTAACCGCATTTTTTTTGAAATATTTTGAACGCCTGCAATAAATTAAGAGCAATAATTGGTACAGTTTCAGTGTTACCCAAAACACAAAGACGCCTTAAAGTCAACAGCCTATTTAATCCAATGCTGAACACGGGCCTGCCGCATAGATATGCCTCATAGGGGTGACATTTGCCGTAGTTGGCACGCTTGGCAATCGGGTTGGCAAACGCAGTTTTTAATTTTTAGTCGTAATTAGGCACACGACTATTACGACATCCACGGGATGATAAAGGGTAGTGGATATTCTTACATCGCCACTACACGGTAACACGCGCTTACATGCAAAATTATAGTTCATCATGTTAATTTTCAGTTCAAAACTCTTGGGTTTCGTGTGCTCCCTGGTCGAGTCATGCAGTACTGTGCAGCAGCATATGCTGCAGTGTCGTGGATTCCTGGTGATCTCGTATATGTTGCAACGTTGCGGTCGCGAGCATCTTACGCCGGACACCCTGGCTTCGTTCTTGCATCTGACCAAACATCTTGTGACTTGCTGTTCGCCTAATTCCGATTTGCTTCTAAAACAGGTATGTAATATTATTAAAAAGTTTTAAATATAATTTGCCAGTAATGTTAATTGTTATTTTAGAGATGGCGTCAATAATGTTTGGTGTTCAATTTTTCTCTCTAATGAAAGCCATATCATAGACATATCGTTAACTGAATATAATATTAACGAATGAAAGTGTTTCAATAATTTACAAAGTAGTGTTAAATTTTAAAGAAGTTAAATAAGTTGACCGATTTTAACCGCGATGAAAATTTCCTTAGTGTTGGTAGTAATGTACAACGCTAACACTAACCTTTCTAAATCCCTTGCTGGCTCAGACGTCATCATCTTGAGTTTAGGTTTTGAGTAATTTAAGAGATTGAATTCTCACGGCATACCATTGTTTCATCTCATGTTAGATATGATTATAGAGCTAACCTATACTTTAAAAAGGAGCGGTTGTCACCCGATGACCTTCCCCCTTGTTTTGTGCCTGTGCTGGATGGACATAAGTATTTCCGAGAGATACAAATAGCTCGAAGAACCGACAACCGTTGGGAAAGCAAGGTTCTCGAGTGGCAGCCTCATACCGGTAGGCGAAGGTAGGGCGGCCCCCACTAGATGGAGTGATGACCTGGTAAGACATGCAGGAAGTCGATGGATGCGGGTGGCTCAGGACCGTGCTTTGTAGCATTCTTTGGGGGAGGCTTGTGTTCAACAATGGATATGTGAAGGGCTGTAATGAAGATGATGATGATAATGATGATTTCCAAGAATGAGCCGACTGCAACATATTTCTTAGGAAATATAGAATATTCAGCACGCTGGTGTTACTGATTCCTTCGACCTGGTGATGTCTTCGTCACCAATCTATGAAATTAGGACTTTTAGTATAGATTTTCAGCCATCAGTTGATCAGAGCATATTGAGTTAATCAGGATGGACGGCGTGGTGGTGAGGTTGTTACTTGGAGAAACAGTTGGTTTATTCGCTCTTAGGTTATGCACCATTGACACGTAAAATAGTTTTGCTTTAGGAAACACATTATTACAATATTTTATAAGGGTTTATAAGGTACCAATTTACAGAGGGTAAATAATAAATATGTAAGTACGCAGGGTCACAGAGCACTGCTTTGAGGAAAAATAAACAGAATCGCTTTTTAATCCTATAATACGTACATCTATTGACATCTGTTTTTTTCCTTATTTTATCCTTCCATATTAGTTATTACGTTTGTTAAATATATATAAGTTCATTCACCAGTGAAACTCTTCGAATAAAAAATAACTCAAATGTGGCTGCAAAGCGACGCTGAGAAAAGCCTTTTCTAAAAAAAACTTTGTCACAAGGCTAAATGCAGCACTATTTAGAAAAGAAAGAAATACGTTTATTTGGCACATGCATTATAACAAAGAGAAATAAATCAGAAGTAAGACGGAAAAAAAGTAGAAAAAAATAGAGGCAGTCGTAAGGACTGCCGACAAAACTGAAAACTCAATGATATTGATATATGCGACTAGCGACGCGTTGCAGACGTTGTGCGCAAGCGCAGTACGTGACGAGCATGTCGAGGTCATCGGTGACGCGAACCCATAAGTTTTTCCCTTACCAAAAATCGGTAAACGCATATAAAAAAGTTTTTACTTTAAAAATAGTTTTACTATTCGAAGCGTTTCAGATGGCAATAAAGTAAGCAACCACCCTGAAATGAACCACATATTTAAGTTATTATGTTTTTGTGTCGATGGTTGTTAGCGCATGCTCCTCTTGCTTTTTCACTTATTTTTTTTAAACCCACACCAAAAAGAAAAAGTAAGAAACTAGCACGGGCAAAAACTTTGTCACATTCTAGTTCTTTATTTCTTATCGACGATTGCGATAAAAAAGGATTTTCAGCGGGTTTAATTCGCAGACTATTGACCGTATGAATCTATATACAAATAAATAAAATTGAAGTGTCTATTTGTAATGTCAATATTACAGATTTTTACTAAATGCATATGAAAGTTTATACGGTACTTATAACAAAAACACAATTTTTAAAATGTTTGCCTGTCTGTCTGTTTGTTCCGGCTAATCTCCGAAACGGCTGGACCGATTTTGACTGGACTTTCACTGGCAGATATCTGATGTTATAAGGAGTAACTTAGGCTACTTTTATTTTGGAAAAAATATTAGGATTCCGGGCAAAAAACTAAAACCTATAAAATCTAATCGTAATAAATTCCACGCGGGCGAAGTCGCGAGGCACAGCTAGTATTAAATAATGTTCTATCTTTCTTTTATTTTTAAACATCATGCTTGCGAATTAAAGCTTATACATAGTTTTATTGTGTATATTTACACCTCCCTTCTGAAATCCAATTTATCGTGATGCATTGTCCATGTACTCTCTTGTACAGCATTGGGAATTTTTAAGATTTTTAAAAGGTTAGTAAGCACCACAAAATCGCTTTTTCACATAAATAAATTTTACACTGCTTTTGCACTGGGGGCTTTTGAATCAGTGTAACACAAAATCTATGCCCTTAGCAAAAAAGCTTTGTACATTCCTAATTTTGACTTTAATATGTTGTCATTACCTACACTAGGCAATAGAAAATATTACTCTTAACTGCAACACAACTGAACTTTTCAATACAGCAAATGCAACCGCTTCAAGCGTGAGCGCGTAAATCCCCGAGGCTGTATTATTAAAATTCTTTAGCCCCAGTTATATTTAAAACGATTACAGAGACAAATAACGACACATATAAAGCAAGAGAGCATATTGCTATCGACCATCGGACAGTTAAAAGTCTATGCTAATCTCAGTCTTTCTGCCAATCTTTCCTCACCTGGCAGCTGCTGGACCACATCCTCTTCAACCCGGCGCTATGGATCCACACACCAGCCGCTGTTCAAGCCCGACTTTACTGCTATTTGGCTACGGACTTCTTGGCCGACGCCCACATATACGGGAGTGTCAGGAGAGTCAGTACAGTATTGCAAACTGTGCATACGTTGAAATACTACTATTGGGTCGTCAATCCAAAAACTAAGAGTGGGATCACGCCAAAAGGACTGGGTAAGTGATTTTAGATTTTAACTCTAGAGTATAGTTTATACAGGACAGTAGTCTGATAGATAAATTGTTAGTGAAAAATTAATTAGCTGAAAATAAAATGACGTGTCTCACCTAGTTTGAAGAGCACCTCCCGCCCTTTATCAATTGCGTACACTACCCCCGTCACCTTTAATTGCAACACCACTACACTAGGGAAGATACAACACCATCGACAATATGACACGTGCTTCGGCTCTAAACGGGATGAAATAGACTATGCGGTAAGTCAGTAACTTAGCGGTCAGCTACATCATTTTATTTTCATACGCGGATCTTAGTTCAAATTAATTTCTAACATCCATACAAATAAATAAAATTAAAGTGTCTGTTTGTTATGTGAATATAACAGCTTTTAACATTTTAGTTAAAAGCTGTTATTTTCGCATATGAAAGTGCGGTTCTTATAACAAAAACAATTTTAATTTTTTGTGTCTGTGTTTGTTTTTTTATAGGAGAGGGGCGAAACGAGCATGCGCCTCACCTGATGGTAAGTGACTACCGCCGCCCATGGACAACTGCAACACCAGGGAAATAGCAGATGCGTTGCCGGACTTTTAAATAGGAGTAGGCTCTTCTCTTGAAGGTCCCTAAGTTGTATCGGCAAAATCGCTGGTGGTAATCGATTTCACAAGTGCGAGGAAGAAAACATCTTATAAATCGAACAGTGGTGGACCGCCAATCATCCAGATAGTATGGATGATATCGCAAGTTTTGTCGCGATGTGCGATGGTAAAATTGAGCGGCTGGAATTAGTCCGAACAATTCCTCAGAGCACTTCCCGTGGTAGATGCGAAAGAAATTGCAAAGGGATGCAACATCTCTTCGCAACGCCAGTGAATCGAGCCGATCGGAAAGGACTCGGTCGTCGACGATTCGAGCCGCTCTGCGCTGGATGCGATTATGTGGAAGGAGCTAGAACTGGGGAGCCCCAGCCCAGAGATGGGAATAATATTACATGTGAGGCCGAACCTGCGCCGAAAGTTGCCAACTCTGGAGCGCACGTCATCAACACAATTGGCGGGATTCCGTCAGCCACACTCGACTTGTATATGTCCAGGTAGAGGAGTGCTTTGCGTACTGAGCACTGTATGAATCGCACATCAGGCATAGAGCACTCATACTGCGTGATGGTCGGCGGTGTGTTCCTCCCGTCATCGAGAGTCGAGTTGGACGCAAAAAAGCCTAAAAGCCTAAAATTTTTACGTGGTAGAGCCATGCTGCAGCTATATTAGTGATATAGTTGTGGCACGAATGGGTTGGCTCGACCGGGGAAGGACCACGCTCTCACAGAATACCAGCGTAAAATAGCAGCTTAACGCTGCTGTGTTTCGTATGGTGAGTGTAGAGAACCGGAGACCCTTTTTACTGGAAATGAGGCATTCCATCTTAGTCCTCTCGGGTGACAACGCATCTGCATTTTGATTCGTAATAGAGGATAGATGTAGATGTCTATGGGCCGCAGCAACCACTTACCATCAGGTGGACTGTGTGCTCGTTTGTCACCCTTATCCTATAAAAAAAAAGGTCGGCTTTCTCTTTTGCGGCGTAGCATTGTGCGTCATCCTCCCTGTGCAGAGATGGTAGTGATGACTTACAGAAATTCCCTTGAACATTCGTTTCTCGCCAATTCTGCCAATGTGCTCATACTTTGCCTTGGCAATAACTCTTTTGAAGGACCTCTCCTCGTCTCCGGCCACCTGCACTAACTAACCAAGCGAAACGCAGAAGCAAAGCTTCTACTTTGCGTTGGTATTTTGTGAGGTAATGGTACTGCCCCAGTTCGAGCCGGCCCATCCATGCTACAGCAGAAGCTGCAGCGTGACTCTACCACTGTTAAACCGTTTGTTCCGGCTATTCTCCGAAACGGCTGGACCGATTTTGGCGGCACTTTTACTAACAGATAACTGATGTTATAAGGAGTAACTTGGCTACTTTTATTTTAGAAAAATTATTAGGGTTCCGCGCCAAAAAATTAAAACCCATGAAATCCAATCTTAGTAAATTACACGCGGGCGAGGTCGCGAGGAACAGCGGAGCCAGTAGTAGTGACAGCACTGTCACTACTACTGGCTCGGCACTACAGAGGCGAGTGATAAGAACCTGCGCTTGCTCTACTGAAACCCGGACGGTATCCAGGGGAAGCTCCATGAACTCCGCACTACAGCTCAACAACAGGATATACATGTTATCTTGCTGGGGGAGATGAAGTTGAAGCCATCTACGCACACCAAGATGCCCAACCACCATATTTACAGGAGAGACGAAGTCAATGATCAAGGAACCGCCTATAGAGGCACGGCGGTTCTAGTGAGAAAGGACATCGTCCACCTAAAGCTTAAATTACCGTCATACCATACGACGCGTTCCATCGGCATAAAAATGGAGGCGGCGGGTGAGGAACTGAGGATCTTCGCAGCATATCGCCCGCCAGGGACTCCATTTCACTCCTCAGACATCCGGTCGATCATGGAAGGCTCAGCACCAACCATCATTGCGTGGGACCTAAACGCAAAACACCCGGCTTGGGGATCCAGAATGATCACCCCGCCGGGTCGTGACCTTTATGATGACGCAGAAAGTAACAACTATGACGTTTTAGGTCCCGAAGTACCAACGCACGTTCCGACCGACCACAGGAGGAGTCCGGATGTATTGGACATCGTGCTCGCTAGGAACGTCAACTACACGATAGTGGTTGAGGTGCTGTACGACCTGAACTCACCTCCCGATTCTGATAACCATTGGCTTCAAGGCGGTGACTACTCTGCCCAGAGCTTTTAGTACCAAAATCAACTGGAGGCTCTATCAACAGTACTTACAGGAGAGACCTCCAGCATATACACCGATTGACTCAGCGGACGACGTAGAGGCCGCTGCAACTAAAATCACCAACAACATCCAAGAAGCCCTCAACGCGGCCTCTACGATTGTACCTATAACACAACATAGAGAGGAGCTGTCGCGCGAACTACGTGCATAGCTAAACCGAAAACGAGCGCTGAGGAAGCTCTGGGCACGCACTCGCTGCCCACGTATCAAAAGTAGATTGAACACACTGACGGATGAGCTGTCGGTTGCAATCCAGGCCTACAGAGGAAAGGCCTGGGAGCGATGCTTATGGAAAGCCGAAGACCAGGAAGCGTTGCTCTACAAATTGAACCGACAGCTAACTAAGAATAATCCCCCCGTCTGCCCGCTGACCAACAGTGCGGGCGGGCGTTGTTACGAGGCTAAAGGTAGAGCGGATATCCTAGTCGAGCACTTCGAGGAGCAATTTGTGCTGAAATCAGCAAGTGCGGAGTACATGGAGCTTCATGCCCAAAAGGAGAGCTGCGTACGGGAGTTAATGTCGTCGCCCGCGCCACCGCTTGCAGGAGAGTGGTTTATCTCCCCCGCTGAAATGTGGAGGACGATAGCCAACCTGCAACTGAGGAAGGCGCCGGGGCACGACCGGATCACAGTTGCCCCATAGAGCCATTATAGAGCTAGGACGACTCTACAATGGCATACTGCGGACTTCACACTTCCCGGAGGACTGGAAGAAAGGCAAAGTCATAGTTCTGCCGAAACCCGGGAAGGACAGGCGTAGAGCAGCTAGTTACAGAATTATAACCCTGCTACCGCACATAGCCAAACTATTTGAACGCATCACCTTAAGAAGAATCCGCCCGTGTATCCAACTGCGGGCGGAACAACATGGTTTCAGGAGCGGGCACTCTACAGCTACACAGCTGACCAGAGTGCTGCATCACCTGGCGGCCGAACATAACCGGGATCGCACGTCGTTGGGCGTCTTCCTCGACATCGAGAAGGCGTTCGACAGGGTGTGGCACTCTGGGCTACTCTACAAGATGGAACTACAGACGAGTGTCCCTCCGGCTATGCTGCGGCTAGTGGCGTCGTTTCTAGCCGACTGGAGCTTCTACGTCTGTGTCGAAGATGCCGAATCCACAGTAAAACCTATTAGAGCCGGCGTACCACAGGGCAGCTGTCTTTCGCCGATCCTGTACGCGGCTTATACTAATGACATTCCTACACTGGCAGGACACCTACGCGAATGGGAGGACGACGTAGAGCTGGCGCTATATGCGGACGATAGCGCCTAATTCACCTCGTCCAGAAGAGCCCATCTCGCCGCCGCCAAGATGCAGCGCCTGCTGGACCTGCTGCCACCATAGCTGGATGAGTGGAGGATGGCTGTAAATGTTGGGAAGACGGCCGCTCTCCTCACCCGCCGCTACCGGAATTTCCCGCCCCCGTTGACGCTGAGAGGCCAGGAGATTGCGTACGAGAAGGCCGTGACCTACCTTGGGTGCCGGATTGACAGGATGTTGCGCATGACTGCGCACGTCGACATCGTCGTCCGCTATGCCAGACGTGCGCGGGCGATGCTCCGTCCAGTCCTGGCATCCTAGTTACCACTGAAGACCAAGACGAAATTGTACAAAATGTACATAAGACCGAGAATTACTTACGCCGCGCCGGCCTGGTACGCACTCCTGAGCGAACGGCAGAGGCAGCGGCTGCAGTTTCAGAAGAACCTATCTCTACGGACTATCGTCGGTGCAGGTCGCTACGTCCGGAACGACTTCATAGCGGCCAACTTAAAGATAGAGAGTATCCAATAATTCGTGGTCCGGCTGGCGCGCGGCATGTTCGACCGCTCCGACAACGGGCCGCATGAACACCTGAACAACTTTGCGCCTCTACACGCTCGACGACCGGACGGGCGATCTCTACCAAGAGAACTCCTCTCTATAAAGATTAGAGAGTAGAGTAAATCCCTCAATGCCGCAGACAGGCCACCTTAGACGGCCAGGCCGTATTAGCCGCCTACAGGGCGACTTACCCGACCTAGCACAAACAAGAACACCATAGGCCGAATTAGGCGCCTTTTCCAGGCATAGGCCGAATTAGGCGCCTTTTCAGGACATAGGCCATATTAAAGGCCGTTTTCACCACGCAGCGACCGAGGAATCAAATCGGCTCCCACGACCGATGCGTAGTAATGCACCACGAGGAGATTTCGGGTAATGGGGTTAGCCCCGAGGCCCGAGACCTGCAGTATGCAGCAGTGCATACATGCGGAGGACAAGGAAAAGCGATAGTCATAGACCGCTCCTAACGAATGCATTTTAATGTTATGTTTTGATAGGGTGGATATTTGCCACAGTCGCCATGTTTTATTTTTATTTTACATATTTTTTTTTTTACTTTTTACTCAAAATTACGATGACGTTGCTGTCCATGTCCTAGTTTGTTTACCTCTATCGCCTCTTACGATATTCACGGGACGGTATGGGGTAGTGGGATATAGTACACTCTTATTGGTAGTGGCTACACGGTGTATTTAATTGTATGCGTAAAAGACAAAATTTAATATTTGTTTACTTTTAATTCATGTAATTTTTTTTAAAGATTCCGTCTATTTTAGCACGTTTATTTTTAACAATGAAGAAACGTCGGGAATTAAAAATAAGTGAAATTAAACGCGTTAAAATTCGAAAAAAGTAGTTTTATTCAACGTTTATTTTACAAACAATTGAAGCAAAGTAATAAGAAATTATCAGCAAAACGAATCGGAGACAAGAAGCTGAGTAATGGGCGCCGTTATTCCAGGAAACAATCCATCTCCCGAAAAGATGAAGACATTACGCGACTGGAGGCCGTCTAAATCGCAACAAATTTGTCGTTGTCAGAGCAAGTCTCGCTGGCTCGTTTACGAAAGCTTTATCACTTTTATTTGACGATCGTTTATCTGAATCAGATCTATGTGAACTAACTTGAAATATGGGAGTTTCACTTTTGAAGTATGCTCAGAAAATCAGCAAAATATATATTTTTTATAGAATAAAGATGACAAGCGAACACAGCCCTGCTGGTGGTAAATGGATGTTGTGGGCACCTCCATAAGTATCCTCGTATCCAGTAAAAAGGGTCTCCAGTTCTTTATACTCACAATACGAAACACAACATTGAATGATTGAACCTTCCCCGGTTGAGTTGACATATTCGTGCTACAACTGTACAGTTAATTTTTTTTTTATAGAAGAGGGGCAAACGAGCATGCGGCTCACCTGATGGTAAGTGACTACCGCCGCCCATTAACAACCGCAACACCAGGGGAGTTGCAGATGCGTTGCCGGCCTTTTAGAAAGGTGTAAGCTCGTTGCTTGAAGGTTCCTAAGTCGTACCGGTCCGGAAAATTCGCTGGTGGTAATTGATTCCACAAGGAAGTTGTGCGAGGGAGAAAACTTCTTCTAAATCGCACAGTGGTGGACCGCTAATCATCCAGATGGTATGGACGGTAACGCGAGTTTTGTCGCGATGTGCGATGACTAGATATAGCTGCAGCGTGACTCTACCACGTGTGGTGTAGTTTCGAATTGTTTCAACTTTACAACATAATTCTTTACACTATTCTCATCTCAATTAATTTTATATATAACTTACAGAAGGTCCACGTCCGGCGCACAAAGACATTCTAACCATTCGTGCATATATCCTGCTGTTCCTCAAACAACTAATTATGATTGGAAATGGCGTTAAAGAAGACGAATTGCAGTCGATTTTGAACTACCTTACCACCATGCATGAGGTACTGTTATTATACACTTTTTTTGCTTATAAAGGTTACGGTGCGTACACATTATATAACATAACATGTTATTAAACGTTGTTATATAAAATGTTTCTGTATTGTGGAGGCTGAATGTTATAAAACGTGGTATATAACGTGACACAAATGTTATATAACTCGAATGGCAGAACGACAAACGACGATGTCATATAACATTGTTATATTGCATTGTTATTCTAACGTGTACAGTATTGTTATATGTTGCAATGTTGAAAAATAATGTTACATAATGTGGGCGTGTTATAAAACAAAAGTTATACAACATATTACTTAATCTGTACGTACCCTTATATTGATTCTATTTTAAAACTGTAGTCATTGAGCTATCGAAATCGGTTCACCCAGTAAAAAGTTATGAGGGAACACATAAAAAAACATACAGTCGAATTGAGTACCTTTTTGAAGTCGGTAGAAAACAACGTCTATTTTCTTCTTTTGAAAAACTAGTGTTTTTTTTATGTTTACGTCTCATATTTTCAGGACGAGAATCTTCATGATGTGCTACAGATGCTGATTTCTCTTATGTCCGAGCATCCTAGCTCTATGGTCCCAGCGTTTGACGCAAAAGTAAGAATTATTCAATGAAAATAGATAATTTTTATAATTAAACTGATACAACTTGACCTATAATCTTTCATATTATATTGTATGCTGTCTCGTCTTGCAGGGTGGAGTGAGGACAATATTCAAGCTACTTGCGTCCGAGAGTCAGCTGATCAGACTCCAAGCGCTAAAACTTCTCGGATTCTTTTTGAGTAGGAGTACACATAAGTAAGTTGCAACCTAACCATTAATTAGCCTTTTGTTATGTGATAGGGTGACAAACGAGCACACAGTCCACCTGATGGTAAGTGTTTACTGTGACCCATGGACATCTACATATATCCTCAATAAAGACTCAACATGCAGGTGCGTTGTCACCCGTGAGGACTAAGATGGAATGCCTCTTTGCCAGTAAAAAGGGTCTCCGGTTCTCTACACTCACCATACGAAACACAGCAGCATTAAGCTGCTATTTTACGCTGGTATTCTGTGAGAGCGTGGTCCTTCCCCGGTCGAGCCGACCCAGTCGTGCTACAACTATACTACTAATATAGCTGCAGCATGGCTCTACCACGTTTAACTAAAGTTTTAGTTTAGCTAAAATTAAATATGTCATTTTTAACTTTTAGCTACTGTAAATTTTTGTTTTCTGTGATAGCTCAGCGGGTACATTAATACTCCCTAATATCTCATATTTAAACAAGTTTGAAAACAGGTGGAAGTTATTAAATTGTATCTTTAATGTATTTATCACACTATCTCCAAAATCATCAATCGATTCTGTTAATTTCTTCTATCGAATGAATACATACCTTATACCTGACGTTAATTATTAACAACAGAACACTAGGCTGGTTCTTTGTTTATAAAGTATTTTTTTTGCTGCATAAGTCATATTTAACTACTATCCCACCTGATGGTAAGTGGAGATGTAACTTAAGATGGTAAAGCACACTGACTTAACAAAGTCTGTTTACTCTTGTCTTTAAGACACTCACATCGTAATCGGATGAAAAGACAGATGCTGGTTTTACTCCTTTGCTGTACGAAAACCTTTTGGTTGGAATATGTCCACAAAGTAGTGGAAACTCGCTGAATGTCTTGTATTATGATAGAAGGGAGAGGGGAATAATAAAATTAAGATTCCTGTTCACATTCTTCAAAAGTTAAAACTGTATATTGTTTGTCAATTGTCTTAGTAAAAATTGTATATGTTCAAATATTTATGATTCGCCTACCGCGAGTTTTGCTAATTAAGGGTAGACTCATAAATTTTGTGCTGCGAACAGTTTGTGTTTTATGTATACATGCTACAGTAATGATGCATCTACATTATGGTTGTAGTACAAATGTGTTGGCTCGACCGGGGTAGGATCACGCTCTTACAGAATACAAGCGTAAAATGCAGCTTAATACTGCTGTGTTTCATATGGTGAGTGTAGAGAATCGGAGACCTTTTTTACTGGAGACGAGGCATTTCATCTTAGTTGCCAGGGGTGACAACGCAATCTGCATTTTGATTCTTAATCGAGGATAAATGTAGATGTCTATGGGCCACAGCATTCACTTACCATCAGATGGTTACGTGCTCGTTTGTTACCCTTAATACATAAAAAAAGAGGACAGAGAACTTCGAAATGTCAACGTCGTGGCTGTCTTAATTTTGAAGGAACAGTTTATTGGCCCCTTATTGACCTTCTCTCCGTGAAAAGTGAGGTATATTACATTATGTTATGCAAAAATTGCTAAAACAAAGTAAATTTCCTGTAGTCATACTAATGAATGTATTTGATTGATTTATTTGTGTACGTATATAAAACTTTATTTAGAGTTGTTGCTATTATTTATTATGTTTAACGTAGCGACAGACTGTATAACTTCAATACGATATAATATTATTGTTCTAAAATAGTTGATTAATAATTAGTATGAGTCTATATAACAAAAAATGTTTGTGTCACGCGCAGACGCAAGTACGACGTGATGTCGCCGCACAATTTGTACACGCTGCTGGCGGGGCGGCTGGGCGCGGGGAGTACGGGGGGCGCGGCGGGGGGTCTCGCGGGGGGCGGCGCGGGTGCAGGGGGCGCGGGGGGCGCGGCGGGCGCTGGGGGCGAGGCGCTGTCGCTGCCGGTGTACAACGCGCTGTACGAGCTGCTGACGGAGCACGTGGGCCAGCAGATCCTCTACACCAGCCACCCGGAGCCGCAGCCGCACTTCCGCCTGGAGAACCCCAGTGAGACTTTATGCCTATTATATAACCACGTCTTTTTTTTTAATGAGTATTCGTACTAATTCGCTTTCGTGCGTGTCTGTTCGGGTCGAATTTAATTATTGATTTTAAACTAACTTCCTGATGTGCTGAAGATTTGAATTTTTGAGCATAACTCCGAATCGTATGACTATATAAGATTATTAAAAAAAATGTGGTATATAAAAAAAATAATACATAATTTTTAACAGAGGAACTATGTTTTCTACCACGTTTTTTTTAATTTTTAACTCGCTTTCATGTATGTCTAATTGACTGTGTACTCCATTTGGCATAATTATAACAGCTCTCTCGCTTCTTACTCATCTATATATCTAAATAAATAAATAATCATAAATGTTTTACGGGTTTTTTTATAAATGTTTTAAGAGTACTCTAAATTTGGCCCATCTATTCTAAGCATTGCCTTGTTATTCTTTACATATTCATTTTTTTTAACTTGGCCAAACCACTAAAGCATTCCTTTCTAAAACCTGGTAACAATATGTCATATACACTTTTCTCCTTTAACACAATTTCTCACCCCATCATGTAATATAGTAAATGTGTTATAAATCAAATCACTCATTACCTTTATTTACTTCCTCAGTGATACTAAAAGTGGTGGCAACACTGATCCGCCAGTCCAAGCAGACAGAACAACTGCTCGAGGTCAAAAAACTGTTCCTCTCCGATATGACGCTCCTGTGCAGTAATAATCGAGAAAACCGGAGAACTGTGCTCCAGATGTCAGTTTGGCAAGAGTGGCTGGTCGCCATGGCCTATATACATCCAAAGAACGCCGAGGAGCAAAAAATTTCAGATATGGTGTATTCACTCTTCAGAATGCTGCTGCATCATGCGATCAAACACGAGTATGGAGGATGGAGAGTTTGGGTTGATACGTTAGCTATAGTCCACTCAAAGGTTAGAAATGATTCTATTTTATTAATTAAATTCACTTTGACAAATGAAATGGTTTTCATTATAGAAAACTGTAATATCGATGACCTTGATACAGTAATTAATTACATTCTGTTGTTTCTAGGTTTCATATGAAGAGTTCAAGCTACAATTCGCTCAAATGTACGAACATTATGAACAACGACGTGCAGACAACATCACTGACCCAGCAGAGAGGCAACAGCGACCGATCTCTACTATATCTGGTTGGGACAGACACACAGAAGGACCTACCATGAGCCGAGTAATACCAGATACTGATGAAAGTGTGGATAGCTCACCAGCTACAATTAGAAAACAAAATGTGCTTAATCATGGAGCGCAAACAGAAATAGGCCAGGGCCTATCTCTGAGGGAAGTCGAAGGCTGCAATTGTAGTAAACTCAAACCGAGTGACAGTGAAACGAGTGCAGAAGAATCACGGACTACAGCTATTTATAGTGAAGTGTGTAAAGTGCATAGTCCTGTTAAACAGAGTGTAAGCTCTGAAGTGACCAGTATAAATGACGGTTGTGACAGTGTAAATAATGAAGTAGAACATGCTGTGGACGAACCTGGACAGCCTACTGATGACAAATTGCTCAATACTGATAATGATTTAGTTCAGTCTATTATAGAAAACAAATTACTAGAAAGTTCCGAATCGGGAATGGATATTGTTGACCTGGAAAAGACTGATAAACCCTTAAGTCGACAAGGAAGCCTTGATTACATTCCAGTCAGAGATGTAGGAGACAATATAAAAGATGATAACACAGATAGGAGTGAAGGTATACCTTCCAGCTTATCGATTAGTGAAACGGCTAGTCCCGAAAAAATAATAGACAATATGAATATCATAAATGAAAGAGAGTCAGAATTATCGGACCCATCTGAATTGTACTTAACTCCAAGTGAAGCTACTAGTCCCAAGAAAATACAAGAAGAAACTGAATTGAATATTACAGATACAATAACAAGCGACGATCCAAAACATGTTGCCATTAATATCGTTAATGACGTCTTGTCTATTGCTCTTGAAACGGTGAAGTTGAAAGCAGATGATGACACAGATTCAGGAGCAATATCTGGTGGACAACATTCCGAAGGCAATACACCCAACGGTCGCGAAGACTTTGAACACGACATAGAAGAAATGATTGACCAAAAACAAACTGTTGAAATGATCGCTAATGAAATAGTTACGGATCTTATTTCAACTGTAGTTGCGAAAAGTGAAGGCGAAGAAGGGGCTATTCTAAAAGAAAATGAAAGCCCTCAAAGAGTGCTACCTTCTGAACTTCCGCATGACAGCAATGTATTACCTTTGGATGATGAATTTATAGTTAATCCTGACAGTGATGAACTGACTACAGATACACTAGCTACTAAAAAAGTCAGTGAAGAAAACGCAAAAAATGAGAGTCATAGGTTAGAAGCAGAACCGCCAGAAGAGCCAAAAACACCAGAAATACCCCCTATATCCACAATAAGTGAGAATATATCGCTAGCAAACAAAAAAGAGCAGGAAAAAGAAGAAGAGAGAAGTCGTGAAAACGACAGAGAGAAACGACGCGTGAGTTTACCTGGTGACAGCGAGATGAAACAAGATAGCAGTAGAGGCGAGAATATGTCATCACAAGGCACAAACACTTCATCTTCCCCTAAAAGACCAAGAAGTGCTTCTACGAGTACTCAAGTTGATTCGAATCATTTTGGTAAGTCAATTGTACTTTTTTCATTAGGTTGTTCTTAATCCCAAAAGACGAAAAATATGGTTACAATTAGCTTTATTTATACGTGATAGAGCCAAGCTGCAGATATATTAGTAGTATAGTTGTAGCACGAATGGGTCGGCTCGGCCGGGGTAGGACTACGCTCTCACAAAATACCAGCGTAAAATAGCAACTTAATGCTGCTGTATTTCGTATGGTGATTGTAGAAAACCGAAGACTCTTTTTACTGGTAATGAGGCATTCCATCTCAGTCTTCAGGGTTGACAACGCATTTGAACATTACTAATATCCCCTTTAACCCCTTTTGGTAAGCTTAAAATGCTTGTATTAGAAGTGGTTCACGACAGTAGACGAATGGAACCCACGATCTTTCGAGTTCACGATCCGCACCCTGCCATTAGGCTACTGACGCTTTTAAATGTTAATTCTTAATTGAGGATAAATGTGAATATCTATGGGCCATAACATCCATGTACCATCAGGTGAACTGTGTGTTTGTATGGCACCCTTATTATATAAATAAAAAAGTAGTGTGCGTATTGCGTTAGTGCTGAAAGAGTTGAGCATGGTTTTGGAATCACTTGCACGCACCTAATTATTTATTATTATTTAAATAAATTGCGTTCACATTAGTTTTGAAATGGAATATTTTTCAGAAACAAAACGACCAACAAAGTGCAACCGGCCGATGTTTTCTCCTGGCCCGACGAGACCACCATTCCGCATCCCGGAGTTCCGCTGGTCTTACATCCACCAACGGCTTCTTTCCGATGTGCTTTTCTCACTTGAAACGGATATACAGGTAAAATTACATAATACATACATACATAAACACTCACGCCTGTCACCCAGAGGGGTAGGCAGAGATTATGGACTTCCATTTGGCACGATCCTGACACACCTCTCTCGCTTCCTCCACATCCATATACCTACGCATACTCGCTCGTCGGTTAAAGGTACTCTTGATATGGCTCATTTTTAATATATCGCCAATTTGGTCGATAAACTTTCGCCTAGGGCGACCCTTCCCGACTATGCCGTTCACCTCTGCAACATAAATTTGCTTTGTCACTCTTTCCTCATTCATTCTTTCTACATGGCCAAACCACCGAAGCATTCCTTTCTTAATCCTGGTCACAACATCATCTTGCAAACAACACACTTCTCTTATTAAACAATTTCTCACTCTGTCATTCTGATTCATCCCTAACATACTCCTTAATGACCGCATTTCTACAGCATTTATTCTACTCTCGTGCTTCTTCTGCCACACCCAACTTTCACTACCATACATTAAAGTAGGTAAAAATTAATGAGTGAAAAATTAAAATGATTGCGTGTGGATTGAAAAATAAGAGAAGAGCTTCCATCAAACCATATTATACAAAGTTTTCTTTAATATATAAACAAATACAATGTGTACGGGGTAGATCAAGAACGGTGGCAGCTCAGGCAATCAGTAGATTACACAATACTCGAGCAAAAGAGGTTCGATTCCCTTCGACAAAAATTCACTTGTTGATTTTTAATTCTATGTGCTGATTTACCACGTGCTCTGTGCAAAAGGAAACCTTAGTTAAGAAACCTGCTTTTCTGAGAAATTAAATTGTTCGAGGACGTATGAAATCCGCTAACAATGGAGCCAGCGCGGGAGAATTATTGCATTATGAAACTTGCAGATATGAGTAATCTGTGCCCAGCATTAGGACGTGTATGTAGACTGCAACTTAACTTTACATGGTACTTAATGTGGTAAAATCACCCTACAGCAGTATTATGACTGCAGTATGAATGGGTTGGTTCTACATGGTAGGAACTCACAGAATACCAGAGTGAAATAGCAGCGTAATTATGTTTTGTGTCGTACAGTAAGGTCAACCACACACATACAGAATCCAGTTTTGCGCGCAAACTTTCGAACGGAAAACTACCGTACGTGTGTGTCGGGTCATAGATTTTATATGAACTTTCTGCGTTCGGAATCTCGAATGGGAATTCCGTATGCATGTGGCGGGCCTAAGTGACGATAATAGCCGACATTTTTGACAGCCAATAATGCAGTTTAGGTTTTCCTATGAAATTGAAGTGTCAATCGAACTTACCGCCCACCCGATGGTAAGTGGCAAGTGGAAGTAAAAAGGAATCAGATATATTAATTTTGGATTGATTTTAATGATTCTTTCTGAAATGAAAACTTCTTTAGCCGCGTTGAGCGATTTTCGGTAGGCGATAAACTTATGAGTTCGCGTCACCGACGACCTCGACATGTTCGTGACGTATTGTGCTTGCGCCAGACTAGCGACTCGTAGTATAACGGTCTGTATACATGTGTACGCTTGTACCATAGAGTTTGCACTTCTATCGGCGGTCCTTATGACTGCCTCTGTTTGTTATTGAATAGTTTGTAACCTATATAAATTTGGAGAAACAATTTGACACTTAAGAGAAAATAGGCTGTAAGGTTTTTAATTTAACTATTTAGATGATATTCTTATCTTGACTTATTGACTTGAGATTGTGCATTTCTCAGTCCAATCGGGGTTTTCGTTCTTCTGTACACTGGGTCCTAGCGCCAACTTCTGAAGCTATGTGGAATTTATTTTATGTTTTTAGTTCTTCGTTTGCTTTTACGTTATAAATTTAAGTGGAAGAAATAAATCAACAAGTCTTGAAATATATTTGCAGGTGTGGCGCAGTCATTCTACAAAGTCTGTAATAGACTTCGTGAACAGCAGCGAAAATGCTATCTTCGTTGTAAACACCGTGCATCTCATCAGTCAACTGGCTGACAACCTTATCATCGCTTGCGGTGGACTCCTGCCTTTACTCGCTTCGGCTACTTCGCCAAATGTAAGAATTTAAGATGACATTATTTTTTTCTATCATAATAATACATTTTTACGTCATAAAAGTACTTTGATTGCGTATACAGTGATCAACTACGAAACAACATTTTTGTAAAGTAAGGGTGATAAACCAGCACACATTCCACCTGATGGTAGGTGAATGCTTTGGCTCATAGACATCTACAATTATTTTATTCTATTATATTCGATTAAGAATCAAAATGTAGATACGTCATCACCCCCGAGGACTAAGATGGAATGATTCGTTTCCAGAAAAACTGGTCTTTGAATCTAAATATAATCTATACAAATAAATAAAACTGAAGTGTCTGTTTGTAATGTCAAAATTACAGCTTTTTACTAAATGGATATAAAAGTACTCGTATATACGGTAGTAATAACAAAAATACAATTTTTAAAGTTTTTGTCTGTCTGTCTGTTTGTTCCGGCTAATCTCCGAAACGGCTGGACCGATTTTGATGAAGTTTTTACTGGCAAATATCTGATGTCACAAGGAGTAACTTAGGCTACTTTTATTTTAGAAAAATAGATTAAGGTTCCGCGCAAAAAAATTAAAACCCCAAATAACACGCGGGCGAAGTCGCGGGGAACAGCTAGTTTACATTAAAACAGAGAATATTTTAATAAATAAATGAATAATCACAAAATTAATTATAAATGGATTCAAATAAGCTTTACGAAATTTCAATTTAGTATCCGAAAATTATATCTTGATCAAAATTGCACTCCATTAGTGGTAAACGGTATAAACAGAATTTCTTGACCAATATGTAATTAAACAAATTTGCCGTGTAGTGGCGGTCGGTGTAAGAATATCCACTGCCACATATCGTCCCGAAGGTTTCGCAACAGGCGACAGAGGGAAGCAATCCAGGAGATTGGCAGTAGCGTCTTCCTAATAACAACTAGAAATTTAAAAAAAAACTGCGGTTGCCAACCTGCCTGATACGCGTGGCAACTTTGGCAAATATCCTCCTTATGAGGCAATCTACGTGGCTTGGGGGGGGGGTTGCTATTTTCAGCAGTGGACTTTGACAGGCTGTAATGAATTAATACCTGATGTAATAAAAGAACCATAAATAAAAAGACTTATTATTACAACTTGCTAGGAACGATTTTACCGTTGGTAATATTGCTGTATGGTGCAAACTAAGACTACCTAATAGACCTCAACTGCACTCCTCACAACGTGAGGGAGTGCTCTACTCTCGATATGTGGCCATACTTCAATTTCGCTACATAAAATCGTTCTTATACTTTTAGCTAGACATCAAATCCATATTATTATTAACGTTACAATAACTATAGATATTGAATTATATTAGTTTATTTTGTAATTGATTCCCTTAAGATTACATAACAAAAAATGTAATTGAAAACTATATGGATAGTCGTCCGTTGGTTTGTGCGTCGGTGAGTCTTCTCGCTTAATAGAAATGTAAGCAATAGATTGAGATGTATAGTATTAAAAAAGATTCCATATATTCTAAGGAGGATCACTATTGGTTTTTGTTATTGAATTCAACACCGTTTAAAAGTTTTTTGTTTTTTGAAAATTAAATGAAATTTTGATGAAAACAATAAATACGCTCATGAGGTGTGCACTTTTGGATTTTCCAAACTATTTTACAATATTGCTTAGTGATTTTAAAGAGGCACTGTACTTAATAATATCATGACATATACTTAAGTTTATACATATTTACATCAATAAAGGATGCATTTTTTATTCGAATACCCCAGAAAGGGTAATTTTTTCGAGAGTGAGTTAATAAATAAAAAAAGGCTTGATGGATTTTAACATATGAGGTTGTTAGATTTGTGTTAATTGTAGGAGTGACATAGGATAAAAAACTTTTCTTCCTTAAGTTAACTGTTTTACGTAGCCGGATTTTTAATTACTGTGTTTTTGGATTTGTTTACTCTTAGAACGAGCTAGATGTGATCGAGCCCACACAAGGCATGCCAGTGGAAGTGGCGGTGACGTTCCTCCAACGTCTCGTGAGCATGGCCGATGTGCTGATATTCGCCAGCGCACTTAACTTCGCTGAGCTGGAAGCTGAGAAGAACATGTCCAGCGGCGGGATACTGAGGCAGTGCTTGAGGCTGGTAAGTAAGAGTAGAGTAATGTTTAAAAAGTATATACGACAGTGGAATTTTAATTAAACAAATAGATATGTTTGTTAATTTCTGTTATCCTTAATTTTAGATTTGTTTGAGTATTGTAAACCTCATCTCCCAATAACGACATTTTGGGGTGTAATACAATATTGTAAAATAGATTTTTTTTCGCTTCTATGTTTGTATATTGTTTCAATAAAATAAACGAGTATCAGAAAGGTGTTGATCTAGTGAACAACACTTTTCTGATACTCGTTTGATTTCACAATAATACATAGATAGGTATCTGATTTGTAAGATATATGACATTAAAAGCCGTTTTGTAAGATAATAATTCAATATTTATTTGTCTAATTTTGCCATTAGAACATAGTGTTATACTTCATTTTCTTCATGTATAGTCATCTATATATTCGAAACTAATTAGTTCTTAGTGAAACCATTCAAGGTGTTTCTTCTTGCTGTCTCTAGATTTAAAAAAATTGCTGCCCCTGTTTAGACTTTAGAAGCGCTAGGTATGTTATTGTTAATAATTGCTTGTTTTACTACTTTTAATTAAATTTAGAATTAATTAGAACATACATAATTTTATTTAGTTATTTATTTATACATATACATAATTGTATTTACGTATGAATTATAAAATTTGGAGTAAAAGAAAAAAATAATATTTAGAGACAAGTAACGGAGTTTAACACTCAGATTCAATTTAAACGTGTGCGAGTTAAACGTGTTGCGTATTATGTGTAGCATGCGTAGCACATTACAAGTGTTGCGTAGTATTGAGCGTTTATTACGCGTTACGTGGATTTCGTAGCGCGTTACACGTGATGCGTATTGTATAGCATGCGTAACGCGTTACTACTATTGTGTTACTATTTAAAAGTCCATCTATCTTGGCCGAGCTGAAGATGGCTCTTCGAGACATTCGCGCATGTAATCTTGGCGGCCTGGCGGGGCGTCGATGTGCCACTTTTTCGTTCCTAAGATTGCTTGTGGAAACGGTTTGTTTTGTCTATATAGGTTATAAAATAAATTTAAAGTTATGTTTATTATGATTTTTTTTATAAAAATACTAATAATGCTATTAAACATTACTAATATTCCCTTTAACCACTTCTGGTAAGCTGAAAATGCTTGTGTTAGAAGTGGTTCACGTCAGTAGTCGAATGGCAGATTCGAACCCACGACCTTTCGAGTTCGCGGTCCGCGCCCTGCCATTAGGCTACGGATACGGACGCTTCAAAAAGTAACTTTATGTCATCATCATCATTACAGTCCTTCACAAGTCCACTGCTGAACATAGGTCTCCCCCAAAGAATGCATAAAGCACGGTCCTGAGCCACCTGCATCAATCGACTTCCTGCATGTCTTATCAGGTCGTCACTCCATCTAGTAGGAGGTCGCCTTACACTCCGCCTACCAGTACGAGGCTGCCACTCGAGAATCATTTTACCCCATCGGTTGTCGATTCATCGAGCTATATGACCGGCCCATTGCCACTTCAGCTTACTTATCAGTTGGGCTATCTGCATCGCTCTGGTTTTACTGCGGATATCCTCGTTTCTAAATTTATAACGCAAAGAAACCCCGAGCATAGCCCTCTCCATAGCTCGCTGAACTACCTTGAGCTTCCTCATATGGCCAGCAGTGAAGGACCACGTCTCAGTTCCATAAGTCATTACTGGCAACACACACTGATTGTACAGTGTCGTTTTTAAGTTTTGAGTTTTAGTGAGTTTCGTAATTTCGCGAACGCTGCGCAGCCGAGTTGACTCCGTCGACGTCGATTGACCTCTCGGTCGAAATTAGACTTACCTAGTTGGACTGACAGGTAAATATACTCGTCAACAACTTTCGAGCTTATAGTCCGACCGCTGAGTTATTACCGATTTGACACATGACGAATTGACAATACTAGTGAAGTGACTGAACCAGTAACCCTAATATCATTTGGGAACAGTTTGTTTTTAAATATTCTAGTATAGTGTGTAATTAAATAAAATCAAAACAATAATAGTTAAAGACACAGGTTCTTTATTAGGTGGAGTATCCTTGATGGGCGTAGATAATTGGTCGAGGACATATCAAAATAAAACAAATTTGTAAACACTGTTACACATTTTAATGAATAGAGTAGGTACAAGATGTTTTAATAAATGACTACCTATCATTTATTAAAACAATTATTCAGACTCTGAACCAGATTCGCCAGAGCTGTCATCGCTATCAGTCACTTGTATGACAATTTCATTCTCTATAATGGTGTCCACTCTTATATCGCGTTCATAATCTTCTGTTATTAGTTTTCGAGTCTTTTCAACGACCTTGACCCAATCTTCTTTCGTTATTTTGCTGCAAGCATCTTTTAATAGACCCATCATTTTATTAGTACTGAATGGCGGAGTCGTGTTATTCCGAGCTGCGTAACCTGTAATGTAAACATTAAATAACGTTAATTTATTAAATTAAATAAACGAAATGTTACACAATTACCTGCATGTAAGGGACATGAGATATTTATTTCTTAGTTATGTATCTTTTTACTTATATGCTGAATATTGGATGTTATAATAGTACAAATTATTCATATTCATAACTTATGCGATAAAAAACAATACCTTTGATTTGTGCCCATATTAGCTCAATGGCATTGTACTGGCAGTGATAAGGCGGAATTCGAAGTACCCGATGTCCATGTGCTAGAGCTATCTCATCTACTTCATAACGAACTCTTGATGTTTTATTTTCGCGTACCAACTTTAGTAAGTCAGACTTTAGCATTTCGGCAGTAGTTTCAATTCCATTTTGGTGTAGCCATGCTACGAGATCAGCTTTCTTGTCGGCCTGAGTAGGCGCTTTATTCACTTGTTTCGAGTGATATGAAGCGTTGTCCATTATTATGATAGAAGGCTCTGGCAGGCTGGGTAATAATTGATTTTCGAACCAATTCGTAAAACTGTCTGTATCCATCTCCTCGTGGTAATCAGAAGTACTTTTTGACGCGAAAGCCAGCAGTCCATTTTCAAAGAAACCACTTCCAGCAGAACCGGCGTGACAAATTATCAGTCGCGATCCTTTTCCAATTGGAACCTTTGAAGTTGATGCTTTTGTTTCGTCAGTCCAAGAGCGTGACACAGTGTGGTTCGCATTTAATCATGTTTCGTCAACAAAAACGACGTTGTCCCAAGACTCGATTTTTCTGGCTTCTCTTAAAAACTCGCTCCTTTTAATTATTAAATCAAATCTTTCCATTAATATTTTCCTTTTATTCGTTTTTTTATATTCAAACCCAATTTAGTGCAATAGTTTTGACAACGCCGTTTTACCGCCTTTAAACAAGCCAGCTTCTTTTAAAGAGACCAAAAGCAAACGTCTAGTTGGAAACTCGTTCCTAGTATAATAACCATATATGTGGTTTCTTATCGCATCTGCATCAAAAACATCAACACCTGTCATGGGCTTTTGTCTTCGTTTTTTCTTAGGAGTGCGTAAAACATTATCTTCACTTCCAGAAGCACCAAATTTTTCTTTATTTATATTATATAGTGTTTTTGCACCAATTCCAAGAGCTTGTGAAACCCGATCTTTCACTTGAGTGATAGGAATCAAAGGGCCGCCATTTTGTGACTCACGCTCAAAGTAATCCTGTAGCTTTAGTACAAGCTCACGACATTGACTATTCAATGTTTTTCCTCGTTTCGGCATTTTCAACAAAATTACCAAACACAAACAAAATTAGTCCAATAAAGCGCAACGATAAACAGGAGAAAGCCGAGTCAAAAAACAACGGTTACACAAGAGAACGTAGTCTGTGCGCACAAGAGTACGGAAGACGACTAAACAGATTAAAATAGCGGTGCTAAGGGTGTTGCCAGAATAGTATCGCCAATTACTTAAAAAAATACACCTATAACATTGCTTAATTGAGGGAGAAAATTATATTTATTAAATGTTGTTTTATATATTATGAATGTTAAAAATTATACATAATTATTTTAATTGTATTTATTTTTAAATCATAGAAAACAGTATTTCTGTCTTTGGATCACACATAAATCTTAAAAATCATAGAGATACTAGCAACACAGTGCAATTAGGAGACGCAAAAAAATGGTAGCATTATAGTCTAGTTGCTCGAAGGAATAAGTAAAATAAAAATATCCAAATAAAATAAATATCATATCTATTCCAATGAATTCGGACCGAATACTATCAAGCACATCACTATGAAAACTAGACGCACGATGTAACTTTGTACAAGCGCGCCAAAGAACAAAAAATAAATGTTTTCATATTATTTACAAACTATTTTAAGTTTTGAAACAGAGTTTATTGGAAAATTACTTGATTCTGACATTTTGACATAAAGTTTTATATTAAAGAGGTATTCTAAATCATTCGGCAAATGTGTCGCTCGTGCAAGGTTATATCGATTAATTTAAGAATAATCTGTCAAATCGGTAATAACTCAGCGGCCGTACTATAGTGTTCCCAACAACTACCGGCATAGTTATGACATGGAAGTTAGATATACATGATCTTTATTTTGTCCATGTTCATCTTAAGATCTAGCCGTTAGGAGGCACTATTGAGGTCATTAAGCATATTGCTTAGGTCGTCCAGCGATTCTGCCATAAGGACTATACCGTCGGCAGATCTAAGGTGATTGATGTAACCCAACCTGCTTGCCAAACGTGCCAGCTATGGCAATACACCCCCCATGAATGAATAAAGTTACGAAGAGACGGCCACCAGTCCTCGCCGGCTCCGCTATTTCTGGCTACGGTGGCGACCATGGTAACGGCGGGGCAATGGGTGCTAAGAATCTCCGGTGGAGGTTCGGTTGCCACCTAAGAGGACTCGACCTGTCAACATATAACGCACGCACCATGAAGACTGACGAGAAGATCCTTAAGCTGGAAGAAGAGATAGACAAGTTGTGTTGGAATATTATGGGTTATCCGAGGTCTGAAGAGAAAGGGAGTGCACGGTAATCCTAGAATCCAGCAACTTGTTCTATCACCGGGAGGGCGAACATCTGTCTCAAGGAGGTGTCGGATTTATCGTCCACAAGTCTCTCGTTGACAACGTTGTAACGATTAGGAGCGTGTCGACGACGGTTGCGTACCTTATACTCACAATCACCAAACGGTATTCGATGAAGGTTATACAGGTTTACGCACCAACCTCGGCACATCCTAATGAGGATGTGGAGGATATGTATGAGGATATATCTAGAGCCATGCATTCCTCCAAAACCCACTATACGGTGTTAATGGGAGACTTCATTGCAAAACTAGGCACAAGAGAGAATGGTGAGCTGAGGGTAGAGAAATTCGGAATAGAGAAACGGTACCCAAGGGGCCAGCAGCTGGTCGACTTCATGGAGAAAGAGGGACTCTTTATGATGAACTCTTTCTTCCAGAAGCAGCCCCACAAGAAGTGGACCTAGTCGAGCCGCGACGGTTCGACAAGAAATGAGATTGACTTCATTACGACGACTAGACGGCAACTGTTCAGTGATGTATCAGTGATCGCGAAGGTGAAAACTGGTAGCGATAACCGAATGGTTAGAGGCACACTGAAACTAAACGTTAAGTTGGAAAGGTCTCGTCTAATGAAGTCAACGCTCCGTCCTCCTCGTGCTCCAATCCAAAGTCCCGAAACCTTTCAGCTGGAGTTACAAAACCGTTTATAGTGCCTAGAAGACTGCAATGTAGTAAACTATTTGAATGACAAGCTCGTGGAAACTGTCCATGCGGTCGGAGTTAAGTTTTGCAAGACCCGCCGCAGAAGAACACAAAAACTCTCCGATCACACTCTTATTGTCATGGCTGTTAGACGGGAAATGTAGCTGTAGTCTTCAGTGGACTTGATAGTATACAGGCAAATGAATAGAGAGATCTCCAAATGCGATTACGATGGATATCCGAACTTTATGTATTTCAATGAAAGAAATAGTATTTTCTAAGAATTAGGTACGATCAAAAGTTTGCACATATAGTACATAGCCGATATTGGCGGGGACAACAATTTCATTCAGTAAATTCAAAATAACATAACTTTAAATTTTTCAATAACATCCTAATATTCATTGTATTAAAACGACATGTTGCATTTACACACCAATAAAAAAAGAAGTAAATCAATTTACTTTAAGAAATATAAAATACAATCCAATCATAATCGATAGGAAAAATAATCGATTATTTACGTCATTGCAACCGCGCAAAATGCGTATTCACATCTTTAGTCTTAGTTACCGCACGTACTCCCCGCTTCTTATCACAATTTATTCTCAAAAACTATATCTGCGCAACCACTCGCGACTAACTTCAGCGCGGCTAAGAACGCGCGGACTATTCGTAGCATTATTAAATGTTGCGCGTGTTACGTAGTGTGTAGCACGCGTAGCGCGTTATACATGTTGCGTAGTGTGTAGCACGTGCCCATTACACGGCACGTGTTTACGTATCGCATGTATACCATGCGCGTAGTGTAGCGTGCGTAGTGTGTAGCGGTAGCGTGTGCGCAGGTGTGCACGTGTGCGGTCCGCAACTGCCTCGAGTGCAAGGAAAGACAACGATGTGCGGCCGCGAGGGCATCGCGGGCCCCAGATTCTCCAGCCCCTAAGGTAAGCTAGGCTAAAGGTTGTGATGGAATAAGCCTTGTGGCCAAGTAAATATTATGTAATATCAGGTGTATATAACAATGATAACTAGTAGATATTTTTTATACAACTCTTGTTTCAATAATCAAAGTTAAGATGGAATTATTTATATCATATGCTAACTCGAATTATTTTCAGGTAATATGAAATCTAATTAATGTGTTTTTAATTAATACTGTTTTTCATGTTTAGAAAAATATAATTGTATTTTTTTTAATAGGTAAAACTTCATTTCATTCTTATTAAATAGTTAGTAATGTGTAAAACATATAAAAATAAATGTTTTTTGCATGTAATTGTTAATTAACTTTGTAAAATATTCCTCAAGTCTAGTTTCATTTAATATTCATTTGATTTATGAATAAGTACGGTCTAGTCATAATTGTCTATGTGCCTGCACATCTAATTTTGGTGAGGTTATAGATGTTCAATGGCTCCATTTCTAATAAAAAGAAAGTAAGTTTCTTCTTTACTTTTGGATATATAATCAAAAATATTATTACCTATGTACATACAATAGTGTACAATATAAAATTATGAGAATTAAGATAAGGAAAGATCTTAATAAGTACACAGATATATAAGCATTGAATTGTAATTAACACCTACGTTACATTGACACGACAAAACCTTCTTGGTTATCACAAGTTGTGGGTATGTTAATATACTCGTATTATCAGTAAGCCCTTTACAAGTTTGCTGCTAAACATAGGTCTTCTATAGAAAAAAAACTACAGTTGAATATATATAATAAATAGGAATAACTTTTTATTAATTCTGTGTTCACACCAGCAGTTCGAAGATGATGGTAAGTGCCTTATTGAAATTGATCTTTACCAAAATATTGGTTATTGGGTAAAGGTAAATAAGGGTGACAAAACGCAATCTACATACACTTATAAACTTCTTTGGCGACTACTAAAAATTGTGCTGTCACGTCTATAGATTTAGATAAAATGATTCGTTGTCTTTTTCTCTCGCCATATCATTTGGCAGATGTCGTACTTTATGATATATAGTTTCGTGTCTCATAAAATGACCCTGAATGTATATGATATCATATTAATGAAAAAATTACATTTTTTACCAGAGCGTCGTAGCGAGTCTCGCTGATGCTTCGAGCCCAGTTAAGGACCCCGAACGTCTTTTACAAGATATGGACGTTAATAGACTTCGCGCTGTCATCTATAGAGATGTGGTATGTAACTTTTAGCTTATTATATGTTGAGGAGACCTTAAGTCTCCGTTTATTTTTCGAAGAGAGTTGATGGATTATGTTCCAATATCTCCGCAAGCTCAAAGTCGTCGTGAGCGATGGAAAGAGCTCATAGTTATGGGTTGCTTTCCAATAAAATTATATAATAATTTATTAGTGACGTGAGAGCTGTGCTCGAAATTTTCCAGTGGATAAGATTCTAAAGGAAGAAATCTGCCATAAAACCAAGGCCACTGACTTGACCTTGCTTGTTTGTAAACTGAAGGAGCAATGGGTTAGTTATTACTGTCGCTAAAGTGTCAATCGTTGGATTTGTCGTATCATAGAGTGGAAACCGTGGGATGGTGCGACAATCTGCTTAAGACGACTAGCACTGTTAAAGGGAATTTCGGACTATGCAGTAGATTTCCATCTGCTGATGATGAGTATTTTTTTTATAGAATGGAGTAATAAACATCACACAATCCACCTGATGGTATGTGGATACTGTGGCCCATAGAAATCTATATTTATCTTTAATTAAGAATCAAAATGCAGATGCGTTGTGACTCCTGAGGACTACGATGGAATGCCTCGTTTCCAATAAAAAGGGTCTCCAGTTTTCTACATTCACCATACGAAACACTTCAGCATTAACTTTTCTGTAAGAGCGTGATCCTACCCCGATCAAGCCGACCCATTCGTGATACAACCATAATATTGCTGCAAAAATCGTGGCCTACGCCTTACGCATCGTCGTATCCAGGAGGAGACGAAGCAGGCGCAGTTCCTGTCGCTGGCGATCGTGTACTTCATCTCGGTGCTGATGGTGTCCAAGTACCGCGACATCCTGGAGCCCCCGGCGCACGCGCCGCAGGACTGCGCGCGCCGCACCCACCACCACGAGCACCACGGTATGTGCGCAACCCCACCACACCCAACCATAAAAATCACCATAACTATACTATTCACGGTATGAGCGCACTACCCTACCTACACCACTCACATTACCACCACACCTCAACCACTAAAACCACCACGACTACACTACTAGAATGAAATAAGAAATGAATACGCATACGTTTTTTTATAGAATGAGGGCGACAAACAAACTCAGTTCGTTTTGGGCGACAGTAGGAGTCCATAAGAGCAGACAAAGGTTATATGATCTTTACCATGAAAGGTCATATCCTAACGTCGAATTTAGGGAATATGTAAAAAAATATACAAAAATATTTAAAAGAGTGTGCTCCACAGCCAAGTCTTTGCATTTGAGCAACAAAATTAAGACGGCTTCTAATAAATTGACATGGAGTATAATTAATAGCGAAACTGGTAAGATCAACTCTCGCAATTCAAACTACCAGTTAAGTTATAACAACAAATTAACTGAATCAGATCAGGACATTGCAATGGTTTTTAAGAAGTATATTACGTGATATTCCGATCTTTACCACTAAGTCACTGAATTCTTCTTCTGCCGTCGCCGAGTCATTACTTAAACAAAATGTAAATGGGTGTACAAAGAATTTTACATTTCATAAACTATCAACAAAAGATATTGTAAAATATTTTAACTTACTTTTACTAACTATTTGATATTAAAAAAACCGCAGATCTGTGGGGGATTCTCGTTAAAGTTATTGCGTCTATAATAAATACAAATGCGCATCATCTAGCTATTATTTTTAATACTAGTAATCGAATCTGGTGTGTTTCCTGATTTAGTGAAGCATATCAAAATAATACCTTTATTTAAATCTGGTAGTACATTAGACCCCGCCAATTTTAGACTTATTTCTGTACTACCAACACTTAGTAAGATTTTTGAAAAAATTATTCTTGATCAAATGTTATTTTTTTTAATATAATAAATAATTTACACACAAATAGGTTTCTCAAGGGGTCGCTCGACAACTGATGCCAGTGTTAAGCTGATTAAATATATATTTGATGCATGTGAGAATTCGCAAGATGCTTTGGGTGTATTGTGTGACTTATCCATAGCCTTTGATTATGTTCTCTATGAAACATTAATCAGGAAACTGCAACACTACGGTTTAAGAAGTGATACTCTTAAATTAATTATTTCATATTTAAGTAACAGAACGCAAAAATTTCTCATTAATATTATGAGCTCTTTCGGGTTAATGGTACAAATGGGCATGCCTCAAGGCTCTATTCTCGGCCCCTTTCTGTTTCTTTTATACGTTAATGACTTACCTTACATAGTAGGGGATAGTCATGATATAGTATTATTTGCTGATGACACTTCTTTAATTTTCAAATTAAGACGACAATTACAAAAATATGTGAATATAAGCTCAAAACATTTATTGAACAAGATCAATTTTTATTACTACAAAAATAAAATACATTTACAAGTGCTGCACTGCCAAATATTTTCGTGACACTTTCTTTTTTAGATGTTTTAGTTTTCGATTGTTAAATTTAATTATGTAGTGTATTCGTAATCGGTTAAACAATTTTATCAAAAAAAAAAAATGAGGGAACCATAAGCATGGCTGTCATTTCAATTCAACTTTACTTAGTAACTCGTATAAATAATAAAGTATAACTAACTATAACAGTAATTCACCATCACTTAAAATTTGTTAAATAAATATTTTAAAACACGTTCGTGTCAATCGCACACTCAATGTGTGGTAGCAGTACAGCAGACTAAAGTGGAGTGCGAGGGCACAAGGTCTCGACGCCTCGCAAGGCCCCCGCCGTTGCTCTGCACAAGTACATTCGTTAGACTCTTTTAACCTGTGGTTATGTATTACGCCAATATTGCACCTGGTCAATTGTATTGCGACTAACATTCAGTGGTCGCCCAACTTCTATCGCCACGAGTCACTGTTTCACACAAAATTTTAAAATGGCATTACATGCAATGCAGTAAATAAATGCATATACTATATTTATTTATTTATTTATTTATTTAATTCATAAACTTGTGGCTTACAGAAAATCCAACACGCGCACAAGGTTAAATTTTACATGCAAAAAATTTTTTTCAGAAATAGTATCCATCCATTACAACAAAAATTAATAATCATAAATTAATTAATTATAAAATAATAGTAATATAAAATCTCGAAGGTTTTGGCAGCCCGTGTCAGAAATTAAAATGGTAATAAAGCCAATTAAAACCATAAAGTATTAATAATTAAACATTTTGTCATATCAATTTATAATGCAATGTCAATAAAAACTAATAACAATCTTAATATGCCCATAATTAAAATTACATCTTAAATATAAAGTATAAATAGTACATAGTCAACGAAATTAAATTGTCCAATTATTAATTGTCATATCATCAATGATTTTATAAAAAAGAGTCAGCAGACGTGTTATACTGTCTGCAAATAGGTCAATTTCATCGTGCTGAGTGAGTATGTCCCCTATAAGTATTAATGCACGATTTGTTGGTGCAAAAGCCCTACGCCCTGGAGGAACGGTGGTTCCTCCATTACCTCTATGCAGGTACCTGGGCACCAACAAACCGATTCTCTCCATAACCGACTGGCAATCCAACTTGTGGTGAATTATAGAAAGATAGTGCCTAATAGTTGACATCACCCTCCTAAACATTAGGGTTTCAAAATCAACCATACCCAAGACGAATAAAGAAGGATACAAATAAGGGTAGTACCCATGAATTTTCTTATAAAGCCAACGAGCAAATTTACGTTGTATCCTCTCTAACAAGAGAGTATACTTTTTCTCGTAAGGATTCCAGACCACAGATATGATTGTACTATCGTTCTAGATATGGCGCTAAATGATATATATGTAAATTAATAACTTTTTTTAGAAAAAGTACATCTACATTATAATAAAAAATGCACACTACCACGTCGCCGTGCACAAAACAATTTTGTAAACCATTGCGATTCGTGAGTGGCTCGAAATCTCGGGATGTTGCCAGCACACTGTCTTTGCACAATTTTTACTTTAACATTAATATGCAATGACATTGAATTTTATCAAATAAGTCTGTAGTATACTCACCTCTTTGTTATAATATACAACCTTATTCATCATTGCTATAAACGAAGAGACCTGTCGTCCTAATATATTATTATTTGTCAATATATTTTGTCTTTATAATGTAGTATATTATAACTCAATGTGTATGTAATCTTTTATGCTGAATAAAACCAAATATCTATTGGTTTTGTCTTTCTTTATCAAAATCATCGCACATGAAATAACTAATGTAATTACAAATATTTATTATACATTTATATTATGTTTAATTTCAAAATATTTAATTATTTAATTTCACTATATTCATGTGAGCGACTGTTTTATTTAGGAAACTATTTTTTTCTGCAAGAATTTGCAATAATTAATAGGTTCTAACCATGGCAAAATAAATCATAATTAAAATACATAACGAGGGGTAACACAAGACCAAAGTCTAACATTCTTAAAATCACTTACTCACTCTTATACTTATACTTTGAAAGATCACCTGCGACAAAAGTCGCTATTATTTTTTTCAACCATATCTATAATTTTATCGCCAAAATGTGTGTACAAACATATTTAAGGTTTTATACAAACTATGGTTACTAAATACTATTATTATCTACTTATAATAGAGCTCAGTCATACAAAATTTTGTAGAAAGTTTGTAAATTATTTCATATGGTTTTATAGACTTAATATTATATTAATTTAAATGTTATTGTCTCTTTGTAAAACGTTTAGATTTCTACATTTTTATTATTATAAATTATATTTTATTCTTTTTCACTTAAATCATTGATAGTTCGTAAGGTGTTATTCCTTAAGTTGTAATTAACACTATCATTGTTATTTTGCTTATTATATTTAGCTTCATCGCACAAGTCTAGTAAACAATATTTAAAATTATAATTTTAATTAATCTAAAAAAAATCTAAACAGTCACATTTCGTTCCGGACCAAAATAATTATTTATTTTGCATGTCGTCGCGGCCAATATTTCATACATGAAAATTCGATTTATTAATGTTTAATTTTAACTTCAACGTAAAATCAGCATTATCAAAATCTGTTCGCTACCTATTGATATTACTGTGTTAAGGCTATTATAACACAAACACTTTTGGCTTACTTTTGTATTGTTGGTGATGTCACTTAAAATGTATGAATTTTATTTGGCCGTGACGATAGATACCGATGTTTTAAATTACTAATGGACTTCTTTTTATCTGAAAGTGTCATTTCTCCTCTTTTTCACGCCGCTTGTTATTGCGTCACGATTTGGAACACCTGGTAAAATCGTCTACGTTATTACTTCATCTTCCCGCACTGATCGCTACTTACACTACGAATTGTCAATTTTCGCACAACACTATCACCTGTCTCACTCACTCTTTGGCGTTTCAATAAAATTATCGACACTACGGACGCTTTGTGCAACACTACAATTTCAAATTCGATATAAACATTTTTAAATCTCTAAAATGTTAATGCTTTTTTTTTTCATCAATTACCTTTTATGGAAATTTGAACCTATTTTTTTAAAATAAATCAATACAATTAACTTTCACATTATAATTTAACGGATTGCGTTTCGTTGGATCAAAAACAAATAAAAACATATTTGACGAATACATACCGCAATCGGCTTAATGTTGTTTTTTCACCTTTCTCGTTGCCTTGGTATTCGGTAACCGCTGATTGTGCCGTTTATCATGTAACGGATTACGTTTTCTTTTCCAAAAAAAAAAATCATGTCTTAATACCTTTTGCGATCGGTTTAATGTCGTTCCTCTCCTTTCGTTGCCTTGGTATTCGGGAACCACTGACTGTGAACATTATCATGTAACGGATTGCGTTTCGTTTTTCCAAAAAACAAAAAAAAATACATATCTGAATACGTTTTGCGAACGGTTTAATGTCGTTCGTGGCGTGTACGTTGGGTCGGTATCGGGTGCGTGGTACAGGCGGGTCGCGGCCACTGTTCCCGCAGTGGTCGCACCACGTGTACCCGCAGTTCCTGCCGGGTGGGCACCCCGCGCACCGGCACGCGCACGCGCCGGCGCACGCGCACGCGCACGCGCACTGCAAGCTGGAGTGCGCGCACGCGCACGCGGCGCACGCGGCACACCCGGCGCACGCCGCGCACTCCGCACACGCACGCATCGCTAACTACCGCGCGCACGCGGGTACGCGATACACCACGCGCTCGCATCGCATTATATACTTACTTGTCTGTCTGAAAAGAGAACCGACGTACAATATGAGGAGGGTTTACTACTTCTTTGTTGTTTTCTGATACCAATTTGGCATACATACATACGTGAAGGAATTTTACTTATTTTAACCCCTTTTTAAGCATATTGCACAGAGTTATGTGAAGCTTGTATTATCCTTTGTCTTATTCATTCATTGCAACTCAGAAAAGTCATTTTGCCAAGTGCCACTCTTATCAAGCGGGTTGACAACCACAGTTTTTTTTTTTGTTATTTTGACTTGTTATCGGGAAGATACTGATGCTCATCTCTTGTTTCAATTTTCCTCTATCCCAAATTTGGATACTTTTGACCCCTTAAATACATAAAGAATAATCATAAAATAATATATTATTTTTTATTATTTAGACATTTTTCACACCTTTAAAAATTCATAACTTCGAAAATAACTTTATCGTAATCCCATTTGAAAATAACAATTCCTTGCAATTGGAAAAAAAATCTGTCTAAACAATATGTCACCGAATTACCCTCATGGCAACATCTTTATTAATCTAAGGCCAATGTCAAATTAGTGTCGAATTTCCATTAAGCGACCACTAGTTTGTCCTAAAAATACCAATGTAAGATGTTATAAAAACTACAAAATAAAATATAACCACTTTTGTTTTTCTACAAAAGATTTTAAAAGTAGATATTTTTTTATTTATGCAATTTAACCGGTTAGTTCTCTTTTTCACTACGGCGGTTCTCTTTCCGTACAGCATCACGGATTATGTTCACGGGACGCTATTTGGCCAGGACTACGTGCGGTTGTAAGCCTAGCCTACATTCGATTGTCAGATTACGAAACAATATGGAGCTCCGTTCACGACGCTTTGAATGACACACATCTTACTTAAGTTGAAAGTACAGATATATTACAGCAGTCTTATAAACGTATGTTAAGGGAACAATAACTCTTAAACAATATTTGACGGCAATTGATCGAGATCGTCTCGTGAACATATTCTGAATATTAGAACTACACGACCATCTAATCCCCAACGAACCCATTAATGTGTAATTACCATCTTCGTTTTCACCAAATTTTTACATGATTACGCGTTCAAGCTAGCTTGGCTATCTGCGTTGGAGGTAAATCGATGTCATTTCAAATTATATAATTGACTTCTTCAAATTCTTTTACGATATAGACAGCATCCATCATCGTCGTTTCTTTTTTAATTTTGCGTCATCTATACATTTTTAGTAAACAAGTGTAGTGTGCACACGAAGCTCAACTCGGTTCCATTTATTGTTTCGACATTAACCCCCATCTTAAGACAGATGGACGAATGTATATAAAGGCATTACTGTCCTACTGCCAATCTTCAAATACCAACATTTGCTTTGAACTGTGCACCGCGTTTGATTCCCAAATCAAGGCTCCATATTTCGTGAGCCACCTACGAAAATTCATAGTAATGGCCGACGTCGAAATGTCAAAACGATTCGTACCGATATCGTTAGTAATCGATTTTATTTAATCGATACCTGAATCGTTGGCGGATTAGATGGTTTTGTAAAAGTATAATAATAGAAACTGTTGATCGATTCGGTGGTATATTTGAGTACTATTTACATAATAGATTTTTTTTTAATTCAAAAATAATTAATAATTAACGAATGTTTTCTCTTAAATAGCATTCATATTTTTGAAATCAATTTATTGATCAGCAGTTTTCACATACTAAAAATGTAAAAATGTTAACTCAACTTAATACAATAATCATTTATTTGGAGGAAAAAGTATTCGAGCTTAAATTCCACCTTTCGTTAGCTTTGGCTACGTTTAAATCATCGTCTGTATTTCTTTTGTTAGAATATACAGTTATAAAACTCACCTTATGCGATGCGAGCGCTTTAACAAACAATGTGGTCAATGTTCGCGATCACTGTTTTGTCTTTACAATATACAAAAAGCGTCCTTTATCTAGTATTGCTAAATCTAGAATTCCTGCGCATAAGACAAGGCAGTGTTATACCGTCCCCGCTTCAGCACCGCTCTGATTTTGTTTTTCTTATTTTATTTTGCAACATCATAATACCATCGTAGATTAGTTTTAGTCTGTATTTTTTACGTTATTGTTTTTTTTTCTTACACTAGACATACTAGACTAGATGATAAATATAATCATAACTTCTTTATTGCCAGATTTGCTATTGCCAACAATATATCTTCTATTTCTGCAATACGTAAAGATCCAATCTTGTCCTTTTTGACCCAGATAAATAAGCTTAACATTAGTTTGCATTTATATCTAAATTTACCCCGTGCATTAACAAAACTTCTTGAAGCCTTAAACGTAGCGACTTCCCCACAAACCTCGCTTGTTAAAAGCTTTTTTAATGTCGTGGCAACTGGCGATTTTCAAAATGTGTTCATTTATATTTTTTTTTACATTTTTTTTCTTAGACCACAATGGAGAAGACGTGGAATACGCTATGATTGTCGTTGACGAGAACAATTCTACTATGAATGAGTTGGACTCACCGTCGATGAAGGTAAGACTGTTGATCTTTTAGATTTTAAGATTTAGCTCCCAGTCTCCTGGCATGTGCGATATGAATACCTACGGTTTATTATTGTTCTATTCGGATCTAAATTTTTTACAATATTTTAGACTCTGTTTAAGTAAAAATAGTCCTTATTGTCGTTTAGTTAGACTCCAATCTTAATTTAGTAAACCTTAGAATCAGTTTCCATCATGATCTTTTATTTTTCTTTTATTAACGTGTATTCTTTAGCTGTACTGAGCTTGAAATCTGTTTTCATAACGTAGATATAATATTTTATTAGTGTTTAATTAAATAAATCATTTTAAATTAAATATTATATTAAAATAATAATGTCACTAAACATAAATACTAGATAGCAGATTCAATTTTACAACTTTCGTCAAGGTAATATTTGGCATGCTTTCCCTTATTATATTCCAACTCCAAGAAATCGTAGCTTAGTATTCTTAAACGTATTAGTTTTTAGATTTTGGTCTTTCCTATATTCAATAGTGTCTAATGCATGATCTAATCATGTTGATCCAAAGTATTTCAAAACCTTACGTTTGGAATTTTTTTGCTGTTATATTTGCAATCGTTGGATTTTGTTGTTGCTGTGGGCGTGTTAGATATGTTTTGTGGTCTCTCTATGTGCGTAATGGGATGCTTCTATATAATTTGTTTTGTTTTGCAATCGCGTTAAAATATTTAAGGATGAGAAGGAAGAGGGTGTGGCGAAAATAGAAACGACCACGGACGAAGCGAAGCCGAATTTGGGCGAAAAACCAAAGTCCAGCGAAGCTGATACTTCGCTCGCTTCGGAAAAAGAAGAACCTCTATTCAAGTCCAGTCTTCGGATGAATGTTCGGCCCAAACCAAAGGTTAGTTTATGGGATATACGAAGCATCGGCGTCTGGTCGTGTCCCTCTATTTTAGAGATGTTATTCTATTTCTTGCGGTGGTTGGTGGTCTTTTAAGTCCATTTCCCTTTTTTTAACATACTGATTTGGCCATTAGAACGATGTCAGTGAGAATTTGAGGTTAAATTTGATTTTTTACGTCCATGTTTAACTTATTCTGATAAACAATATATTGCTTTAAATGCTTAGATTAAAAATTATTACTTACTATGGCATTATATACAATATGATATAATACATGGGTTTAGGAAACATATGATTTAAGCCCGATTCCTATATTCAAGTAAACGTTTCCTTATGCGTAACGATCCGTTTTATTACATACAAGGTGTACCTAAAACAGTTTTTATAACCAACTTATCTTTCACTAACTCAGGATAAAACTTTAAACGGTTCATAAATAGTTGACCTGGTATTTTGTTTAAAAAAAAATGCTTTTAACTTTTCATGCAAATCATTTACTGCAAAACGGGCCGTAAACTAAGCGTTTTTAATTATAAACCCGACATTAGTGTGTTCTAATGGCATCAGTACACTAATAAATACTGTCTATATAACTTTCTTAACCTTGTAAACTTTCTTAACTTATTAGTTATTAATATGTCTTGATGTTATACTAAATGAATGTTATTGTCCTGTTATAAGCCTCCCAGCGCAAGGTCAAAAACGTTATCGGAGATCACTGTATCTGTGGTGAATCTGGTTTGTATGATTTGGTTGAAGACACGAGTTTTAGTGTGAACACTCCTACAATATTCTGGGTGCCTGGTAGTTTGATGAGTTGCGATTTTGGTTCTAAGCTGGATAAAATTTGATTTACGCTTCGTACGTCCAGAATAAGAACTAATTTAAATAAAATTGCCATATTTAAGAATAAAAAAAAATTATAATTTCCTTAAGCTATTGTCATAAACTATTTTTAACCTAAAATTGAAGATAAATACGGGCAGCAGACTACAATAGCCAGTGTAATTAATTACTCTTAATGTTAAGTAAAAACGTCTCTTGTAGCTTTCCGTGAACTATATTTGGCAAGCGTCTTTAGATTGCAAAAGCTGATTAATATCAAATGGTCTACAATGCATAAAAATAACGTTTATACAAGTATGTGGCTGTTGTCATGTTCTGTCATGTTTTCCAAAAATTTATATTCCTTTCTTTTCTAGACCATTCTAAATACCACTTCAACTTTTAGTTATTATGATCTCAAAAATCTAATTATAAGGTATTAAAACGATTCAAAAAAGTCAAGTACAGTTGAACCAAAATCTAAACATTGCCCTGCACCCAGTTTCAACGTGGAACAAACACAAGCTTGTCACATAATGGATTTTGTTACTTATATTATATCGAGTGAGAACACGTGAGAATTAGGCTAATGCTACGCTCACTATATAATATCTAATATCTATATAACATATAAATATATATAATTATTAATATTATAGCACTTAGCACTACACTAATACAAATATGTTTTTAAATGTTTATATATACCTAGGATAGAATGACTCAGTTAAATGAAAGTACGAATTTTGGAAATTTGTAACGTTTTAGGATGAAACTAATCTACCCGGGTCCAGCCTTCTTTTAAATTGTTATTCACATTTTTTGTAACTTAATACAATATTTATTACGTAACACTATTTACCTCTTAAAAATATAATTCTGTAATAAAATATAATTTTATAGATTTTGAAAATAAAAGTAACACATTTCATAATGTTTATGAATAGTGTTATTATAATTAATATATATAAAATATTAATTTTGTTCTTGTCAAAAATTAATACGTGGAGAGCCACGCTGCAGCTATAATACGGTTATAGCACAAATAGGTCGGCTCGTCCGGGATAGGAGTCCTCTCCCAGAACATCAGCGTAAAATAGCAGCTCAAAGCTGGTGTGTATGCTGATTGTAGAGAACCAGAGATCTTTTTTACTGGTAACGAGGCATTCCATCGTATTCCTTAGGAGTGACATCGCATCGGCGTTATCATTCTTAATCGAAAACTGATGTAAATGTCTATGGACCACACTATCCACTTACCATCAGGTGGCTTGTGTGTTCTTTTGTCAGTTTAGGAGAAAGAACGTCGAAATGTCCACGACGCTGTCTTTATTTTGAAGGAATACTTAGTTTATTGACCGCTATCGCTTTTCGCCCCGTGAAATGTGATGTAGGTATGTATATGCATCACTTTTAAATATATGAAATACATTTCCTGTGGCTCAATGAATTTTAGTATTAGATTGATTTTTCGTGTACGATAACAAACACTATTTAGAGTTGCCTTTATCTTTTATTGTGTTTAACGTATAATTTCAATGCGATATATTATTATTCCAAAATAGACGAATAATAATTAATTTGTATCTATATAATCCGCTCATTGGTAATAATAATAAGACTGACATGATTGAGTATGTGCATGAAGTATGCTTGGCTTGCTTATTACACCCTACTTATTTTGACTTCTCTATTGGCTTGATATTGTCTGTCATATTTGTTTTAATGTACTTATTTCTATTTTTACTATATCTGTATTAAGTATTCTCTCCTAACTTGATCTTAAATTATCATTTATAGTAATTTGAAAATATATTATTTAATAACCTCAGTTCCTCTCTCCCTACTATTAACACAAATGTCATTTAATTACATACATTTTAGTGCTGATAACCTCTAATCTACAAATTTAAACTGTATTTGCATTTCAACAGAGCGTAGATTCCATTGAAGATGCCGGCTCGTTCCATCTCAACTCCACGGAGACCACAAATAATGATCCCGAGACTTCGAGTGAAATCGCGATGGACGATAACAAGCACCCCGTAAGAGAAATATTCTAGAGTAGATTTTGAAATTTATTGAACATTTTAAGTCAAATATTTGTACAATTTTAACCGGCGGTTGTTGCTCCTAGCTGAAGGGACAACAAGGCTAAGAATTAACTAAAAAACCTAAAGACACCGACGTTCAGCAGTTGACATATGATGGACTGTAATGATGATAATATTTGCTTACTAAGGCCTGAATTCCTCCTACGCTGTCGTCGGTTGCGTACGGTCGGTCGCGTACGCGTACGTAGCAAGCTACGCGCCGCTGTCGTCGGCGTCGTAGTGTGGGGCCATATAGAACACAATGTACATTAGTAAGCGCGACCGACGTACGCGACCGACGTCAGCGTAGCAGGAATTCAGGCCTTAGTAATTTAAAGTGGAACTCACCGATATTCCAGACTACTGATGCACAAGTTTTGATTTAACATCCCAACCCAAGTTGAAATTAAAAAAAAACAAATTATTGCATTTACCGTTTGAGCAAATGTTTATTTTTGATAGCTACAGCATCCGCAGAAATTGCAGGTTTTCGAGATTTTCGAGAAAGGTTCTCGAGTGGCAACCTCGTACCGATAAGCGAAATGTAGGCCAGCCCCCCATTAGATGGAGTGACAACCTGGTAAGAAACTCAGGAAGGCTGTGGGCGCGGGTGGCCCAGGACCGTGCTTTGTGGCATTCCTCGGGGCAGGCCTATGTTTAGGAGTGGACTTTTGAAGGGACTGCAATAATGATGATGATGATGAGATTTTCTAGGTTAGCCGTGTAGTTGTGGCGGAACAGAATCCATTATTCCTATTTCGTCCCGTATGTGTCGTAAGAGACGACTGTGGAAAATGCCAAAAAAAAACCTTATGACTTCTAATATACGGTGCTATTTTAAAGCAAATCATCCCTACAACTTGAAAGGACCATGTCCAACTGACTTCTCTGTGAGTTAACTCGGAATACATATCGATCTATAAAGCTCTTTTATGAATATGTAGACTTAAGTGGCAATGGGCCAGTCACATAGCAATGAAATAACTGACAACAAATGGAGAAAAAAGGTTTTCGAATGGCGGCCTCATACTGGCAAAAGCAGTGGTGGGCGATCCCCCACTGGATGGAGTGACAGCTTTATAAAATATGAAGGTAGTCGAATGTAGGTGGCTGGGAATCGTGCTTTGGGGTTATCTCTCAGGGAGGCCTTATTTAGCAGTAGATTTGTGATAGGGCGCAATGAAGGTGATGAATAATCTTTCTTTGCAGTCGGTAATACAAGCATTACCATCGATTTATTGAAGACACGTATTTGATGCGTGCCAATCAATTATTGTGCTTGTGCGTTGTACATGACTGAGAAAATATTTAAATGTTAAAAAATATGTACAACCGACTTCAATATAAATTATTAAGAATAACTCAAAAACTATTGGTCAGAACTTGATCACCACCGAGGGATCACATGAGAAGCACCAGCATTCAAATAAAAAAATAATCGTCCAAATCGGTTCTTCCTGAAAAAAGTTATGAGGTAACACACATAAAAAAGAAAAAAAACATACAGTTGAATTGAGTACCTCCTCCTTTTTGAAGTCGGTAGAAAGAAATAAGAAACAGTCAAAATAGTTGTAGAAATTATGGCATTTATTTTAAATTTAAAGGTAAGCAATGACGAATCGTGGACGGACGTAAATCTTAACGAAGATGGCGAAAGAGGCCCTGCCACCATCACTGGAAGGACCAGAGATCACGAAGGAAATCTCCACGAGGGTAAGTGATGCAGCAACTTTAAAATATACTGCCAATTAAATGAGTTTTGCCAGTAGGATTGTAGTATATTAATGGACTATGTCTTTAGTAAGGACTGCATATTTCCCAGGCGCATATAAGAAATGAATATCTTAGAATAATAAATTATCTACGTGTATATAATTATAACTATTTGTTCACCTTAAAAACAAGTTAAAAAAATAAAACGAGTTTTGCAAAAGACCTTTTTTTATTATGCTCATCACAAAAGTAGTCTAAAAGCAACTCTATCCTATGATACGGTTCCTATGTACAACTTCAATGACTGACCGGTAGCGCGTTGTGCCGCAGATTCGAACCTCGCACGGATATTTATTATGTCCTCCTACAAAATAATTAGTCCGGATTTGTGTTTTTTCGTTAGCAGTTTATATATCTAAAATGCCCACAAAATACAGGAGAAATCCTAGTGTGAGTTATTGAAACGTTATTACTAATTTTTAATTCTTTAAATACGTCATTAAAAATAAGTATTTTGTGATTTTTCCGCAGACATAGACAAACAAATCCATATGAGGAACTCTGATAATCATCACATGCAACAGAGGCATCAAAACCGAAACCTACAAGTCGCCCAGAGACATTTGCACCCGGTAAGAAATAATATTGCATTTTATTATAGTTTTCGCATGTTAACTGGGAGACCAAAATTGTATATCGATGGTATTCTAAATTCCCACGATCAAAGAGTTAAACCCTTGCACTGTGTACTACTAATGACGTAATAAATTAGTTTTCTATACCTCTTGGGATGGGAATTTTAACAGCATATACGTAGAATTTCTTTTATCGTTTTGTATATCGGTTTTGAGTTGGAGAAAACTCATTAGTGTACTCGATTAGTGCACCTGTTAGCACAGATGCAAATGCCATCTGTGTGAGGGATAACGCATGTTGAATATATTATACAATTATATATTATGTATGTTTGTAGGTATGTATTTTGTCTGTTACCTGATGCGCGCTTGTAATCTAAACGAAGACATACGACTGTTATTGTATGCGTTGCTGTGCTAACTTTACTCAACAAAACTACACAATATTTACTAATTTATAATATCCTCATTACCAGTTAATGTCACGGTTAAGGGTTAACAAAAGGTGTGACAGGAAGCAACTGACAAGTGATGTTGGGTCCGTCTTTCATCAAAAGTATCATAATGCATAGTCATCGAAATACATACTATATGGCCCTATATAATATATAATATTTTAAAGTTTATGTTGTCGATTAATTCGTCTTTATTTCCATAGAGTTAAAGACTATAATTTATGCTTATAATATTGACAGGGGTATCATAAAGCAATAATATCCTTGTTACTTTTATCAGCATCGAAGACTCGAAATTATCTCTGCTTGTACACTTAAAAATATGTCTCAGGACAACGACACCCTAGCGGGGCTGAATGCGATGTCCGGGATTTCCGGGATGTCCGGGATGTCGAGCGAGGGCGCGTCCCGCGAGGCGTCGCTCACGCACAAGCTGGAGACGGCGCTGGGCCCCGTGTGTCCGCTGCTGCGCGAGATCATGCTCGACTTCGCGCCCTTCCTCTCCAAGACGCTGGTCGGCAGCCACGGCCAGGAACTGTTGATGGAAGGTAAGCTTTACTGTGTTATTGCACTTTTACACAAGTGATATCCGGCTCGAGGGACTAAAGAAAGTAGTTATTAAATTAATATGATACGATCGAAGAATCTATTACTCATACTTATTAAGTACCCATTACTCGTTAATCATCATCATCATTCCATTCACAACTAAAAAAGCTGAACATATGTTTCTCCCAAGGGTGACCCAAGAATGCCACAAAACAGTGTCCTGAGCTACCTGCATCCATCTACTTCCTTACATGTCTTACCAGGTCGTCACCACATCGTCTTGGGGGAGCCGTCTTACACTTGGCTCAAAAATGCGTGCGTCAGAAGCGTGACAAATAAAATAACAAACCAATATTCTTTCTAGGTCTACAAACATTTAAATCGAGCACGTCGGTAGTGGAACTGGTGATGCTGTTGTGCTCGCAAGAGTGGCAGAACTCTTTACAGAAGCACGCCGGCCTGGCCTTCATAGAGCTGATCAATGAAGGCAGATTACTGTCGCACGCGATGAGGGACCATATCGTGAGAGTCGCCAATGAGGCCGAGTTCATTCTCAATAGGATGAGAGCCGACGATGTGCTCAAACATGCTGATTTCGAGGTGAGTTTTTCTGAAATAATATTTACTACATATTTACTAAAACATTAATTAATATTTGCAAAGTTCTTCTTCAAACAACCACTTTGTAAAAGTCTGCAGGTAGACATGCGCCTATCAAAGTTTATAAAGTATTGAATTCCATAGTTTTATCTTAACTAAAGATTTACGGTAAAAATTAGAGCCGGTTTCAACCATTTTTTACGTGGTAGAGCCGTGTTGCAACTAAATTATGGTCGCAGTACGAATAGGTCGGCTCGACCGGTAAAGGACAACGCTTTCACAGAATACCAGCGTAAAATAGCAGCTTAATGTTCCTGTGTTTCGTATGGTGAGTATAGAAAACTGAGAGACCCTTTTTACTTGAAACAATTTGAAAAAAAAATTGGAAAAAATTCCAACGTAGTTCTCAAGGTGACAACGCATTTTGATCTTAATCGGAGATAAATGTAAATGTCTATGGGTCACAGCATTCACTTACCATCAGGTGGACTGTGTGCTCGTTTGTCACCCTAATCTATAAAAAATCCTATTACTCTATGAGCCATTCGGTCAGTCCGTCAGTATGATATCCCGCTGGGTTTCTTGCTGGTTCTTCCCAGGACAGAGGTATTTTCCGAACCAGTGCAGTGGTAAATAAAATAATGACTTTCAATAAGTATTATGTAATAATCCATATTGAATAAAAATCATTCTATTCTATTCTATTCTATTCTATGAATTTTTTCCTTTTGGAGTGAGATTAATGTGGGCATAACATGCCTACATTGGCGATCACTGTTCGCAACAATATCTCATTTAGGGTTAGGGTGAAGCCAGAAGCGGATGAACTGAGTAAATACGTAATTGTGATATATTCATATCTGCATCCGAATTTTTCATATCCGCATTAGGTATAATATTTAGGCAAAATAAGAATGTTTTAGCGCCTGGTGGTTTTAGCGCTGCAAAACATTTTTACGATCATTTACTATTATTTTTGGAATAAGCCGGGTAACTGGCTACCGCTTTTACCTGTGTCTCGCCACCTCGCCAGCAAGGCAAAGTTAGGAATTTGCATTTACAAAAACCCAAAATTAGGGTTTTTTAGATGCTACTTACGTGCCAAGTTTAAAAATTAGGTGTTCTAAAATTTTTACCGCAACGAACTGTTGAAATTTGCTAAAATATCATGGTATGCGTCAGTATGCATCACCACGTATATGTACATTTATGATATATTCATCGTGTAGTTTAATATCAGTCAAAAAAATTGAAATGTTTGTTTTTCTGTTGTAGCAAATATTTTATTCATTGTTTTATGATTATTCCTTTTTTATACCTAACGCTACGATAATAGCTACACAAGCTTTAGTTTTATCTCTATATCTATTTCACGGCTGAGTTGTAAGAATCATGTTACAATACTGACGTTATAAATGCTAAACGTATAGCATTACCTGTTTATCCCGTAAAGTCGTAAACGGAATATGACATAATGTTGGACCATATTATTTACTGAACTCTTTTATTCGTGCTAGAGTCATACTGTAGCTATGTTATGGTTGTAGTACGAATGGTTCGGCTCGACTGGGGGAGGATCGCGTAGGCAGCATTACATAATACCAGCTTGCTTAATGGTGATGTTTTGTATTGTTTGTATAGAGAATCTGATACCCTTTTTGTTGAGAATGAGACATTCTATCTTAGTGATAACGCTTACCATCAGGTGGACGGTGTGCTCGTTTGTCACCATTATTTTATAAAAAAGTGTAGTGTTTGCCTAACGGCACTTGTGACAGTAGGTGTGCGTGTGCAGTGCTAGTAATGAGTGTGTGTGCGTGTGCGCAGTGCGTGTGCGCGAGCACGTGCGGCGAGCGCGCGGAGGAGGAGCGCACGTGCGAGCGGCTGATCGCGGCGGCGCGCCGGCGCGACCAGGCGGCCGCGGCGCGCCTGCTCGACAAGCTGCGCCACGCCGCGCACGCCAGGTACCCCCGCCGCACTCACTCGCCTCACCCATCCCACTCTCCACCACACCCAACTCACTAGTTTCTTTTTAATTCATACATACCCTTCTTAACATTATACACATCACTAGCCTTATTTGCCTATCTCTTCCCCTCACACACAGTCTTGCTCGCCTTTCTCTTCAATTCTCCTATCCCACTCTGCGTCTCACTCTTCACTTCACGCATCTCATTTTTTGACTACATCTATATCACTCTTCATTTCATCTATCCCACTCTACATTACCCATTTCATTCAGTCTAAGCGCCACAGCATTCACTTCCCATGAGGTGGACTATGCGTTTGTTTGCTACCTTTTTTTAATAAAATTAGGGTGACAAACAAGCATACAGTCCACGACTTAATGACAGCTAATAATCTTCCGCTCATTAGATGTCGCTAGTTAAGACTGAGGAGGAGTTTTGTTAATCAAATATTTGAGGAATATCCGTAGATTGGTTTATTATTTTCTAACCTAATTAAATAAAATATAATTTATATCACAGAAAGAAACATTAACGTTTACATTTTAACAAATTAACTTTCCTACTAAGAATTTTGTAATAGTATATTTCATTACGAGTGCGGAAAGCCTGTCATTGTAAAGAGTTTCGACAAATATCTACCCGAGCCGAGGCGCAGCCGAAGGTGAGGGTTGACAGTCGGAACAAGTTGCAATAACGGTTCCGCACGTGTACTGAACAACTATTTTTAATATAGTTGCGAAAAAATGAAACAATTTAATAAAGAACATTTTTGGGAAATGGCGCCAACCGTAAAAGAATGTAAGCAGAGATTTTTTTGTTTTCTTTACCCATTCTGGATAGGCAAAGGGAACTATGCCTATACAGCCAAGTCTTCAGTAGAATTTTTTATTGATATGAAATGAAAATTAAATTTAATGAGATGAAATGAAATGAAACCTAACTCATTAAATCAAATCATTAAACTGATATTGAAACAAATTAGTATATTCTTTTTAGAAATATTTGCATGAATCATAAAAACTTCCATGGTTTTTTTTAGTAAAAACTTCTTGGTTGTTTTTTTTTCTTTTTAATGGATATTATTTTGACATTTGGGAAAGAGAGCGCACGAGTTCGGAAAAGGTAAAGAAAAAAGCACGAGTATGTAATAGCGCACATCTCGAACGCTATACGTCCCTGCAATACGCCACTTTTTGAGCAACTATATTAAAAAATATTTTGCCTCATTCGAAATTGGCACCGCTCTGGTTGAAAAAAATTCGTGGATGCCCTAAAGTGTCGTGTGTTGTTGCTCAGTATGACGGGCGCGGAGGAGGGCGAAGAGGGCGAGGGGTGCGAGGGCGGGTTCTGGAAGCTGGACTCGTGGGAGGACGACGCGCGACGCCGCCGCCGCCTCGTGCCCGACCCGCGCGGCCGCCGCCGCGCCGCGCACCCGCACGCCGCCGCGCAGCCGCCGCGCGACGCCATACTGCAGGTGCGTACTGCGTCAGCTCGCGCTGCATCGAATCCGCGTCGAGTTCACCCCGCGCCGAGCCTACGCCGCGCCAAATCTACGCTACGACACGTTCACGCTGCGCCGAGTTCACGCTGCGCCGAGCTCATACCGCGCCGTTCACTAAATTGGAGCGCAAACCAAATTGCCGCTTCGCGGTCCTTCATATGCGTAGTTCAGAATGCGTATGGGACACGCTGTACTTAGTTTATTACGTGGAGGACACTTAAAATTTTACTTAACTCATAAATTAACAATTTATAGGTAAGATTATATAATATTTAATGTTTTCAAAGTATTCTCTGTTACTTCTTAAACACTTTATCATTCGTCCAAACCATTTTTAAAACATAAATACCATAATAAATGACGAACTTCAATTTGTGATACAAAACAATTGACACGCAACTTTCCACCAAAAATATTTAATCATTTTAAGAATTTCTTATGTTTCAGAAAGTGTAATATTTGAAATTTATGAAAAGTGTAACGTTTATGAGCGGCCAGAAGCGTAAACTTTCAACAACAAGTATCTAATAGTTAGAGGTGTCAAAACATTTGCTGGAGCACTGTGTATTAATTTGTCATTTTTACTTCTATTAAAATAAAGAAAATTCGTTGTTCAGGCACGGGAAGAGCTGCACGCGCGGATCGCACAAGCCGCTGGAGGTGCACAGCTGCCGGCGCCAGCTGCAGAGCTGCTGGACGACGCGGACGCACTACTGGATGAACGAGACGCTGACCAGGAGCTTACCGGTACGTATCACTGTTAATGCGCAATTGCTGCACAAGCACGATGTGGACCACAATCTCAGCGGTGCATAGCACTGTCTGTGCACAATTACCTACTCAACTGCTGGACGAACGAGAAGTGGACCAGAATCTCAGCGATACGTGACATTGTCTGTGTGCAGTTACTCAGTTACTTGACGAATGAGAAGTGGACCAGGAGCTCAGCGATACGTGACACTGTCTGTGTACAATTACTCAGTTGCTTGACGAATGAGAAGTGGACCAGGAGCTCAGCGATACGTGGCACTGTCTGTGCGCAATTACTTAACTGCTGGACGAACGAGAAGTGGACCAGGAGCTCAGTGGTATGTGGCACTGTCTGTGTGCAGTTACTCAACCGCTGGGTGAGCGAGAAGTGGACCAGGAGCTCAGCGATACGTGACACTGTCTGTGTGCAGTTACTCAGTTGCTTGACGAATGAGAAGTGAACCAGGAGCACAGCGATACGTGTCACTGTCTGTGCGCAGTTATTCAACTGCTGGACGAACGAGAAGTGAACCAGGAGCTCAGCGGTATGTGGCACTGTCTGTGCGCAGTTACTCAACCGCTGGGTGAACGAGAAGTGGACCAGGAGCTCAGCGGTACGTGGCACTGTCTGTGCGCAGTTAGTCAACTGCTGCACGAACGAGAAGTGGACCAGAAGCTCAGCGGTACGTGGCACTGTCTGTGCGCAGTTACTCAGCTGCTGGACGAACGAGACGTGGACCAGGAGCTCAACAGTATGAGGCACTGTATGTGTGGCTTAACGATACGTAGCACGATCGCAAAGCCGACTAGGAGCTCAGCGGCACGTGGTACTATCATGTAAGCACGTGACGAGCTGCTGGATGACGTAGAATTTCTACTGGACGACTACAAAATCAAGTTGCTTTCGTTCTCTGAAAATTAAGACCAGTCTTTTACTCTTTTACAGCGTCTCTCAAATAATCTCTAGCTATAAATTTAATTCGTAAGAATAAATTTAAAATGGCCGTTTATAAAGTCGTTTTATGTGTAACCTTTGACTTTTATCACCATTAAAATGCCAAGTCTATATTAACAGCGTTAGCTTCTCATTTAGAAAACGGAAGTTACATATTTTGTGATGTTTGATGTAAATATTATTACACATATTATCTTTAGATAACATTAGTTTTTTTTTGGAATGAAATTCCTTATCGCACGGTACGAAATTGTCGGATGGGGGCTAGGCGAGAAAAAGTGTAAGATTTTTTAATCACGCATTTCTATAGTGCGAGCGAGATATAATAATATTCATCTCCTTCGCACTTTTTCTTCTTCATCATCATCATCATTACAGCCCTTCACAAGTCCCCTGTTGAACATAGGCCTCCCCCAAGGAATGCCACAAAGCACGGTCCTGAGCCACCTGCATCCATCGACTTCCTGCATGTCTTATCTATCGTCTATTATATCCTATATATCCTATCGTCGGCAAATCGAAGGTGAGTGATGTACTCGTCATTAATGCCAGTAGCTTAAAAACGTCTTCCAATGCAGCGGTGAAAAGTTTCGGGGATATTATATCACCCTGTCTTACACCTCTCTGCAGGTGGATAGGTTTCTTACTCTGGTTCTGTACTCGGACTGGAGGGACTGCAGCACCGCCCAAATTTCGACGGAATCAAAGGCTTTCTCGTAGTCCACATACGAAAAACAAAGTGCCTTCTGTAAAATTTGCCGAAGGGTATGTATGTGGTCTATTGCTGGAAGTCGTCGAGTCTGCATGCGAGACGATTCGTAATGACTCTCGAAAACGCTCAGAAAGATAATCGGTCTGTAGTTCTTCAAGAGAGCATTGTCGCCTTTCTTCAACAACAAGACTTCACTTCTGCTCCACGCCTCCGGTGTAGTGCCACCATGGAGGACGGAATTATAGAGCTTTTGAAGGATTTTAAGTACCGGTTTTCCACCCGCTTTCAGAAGCTCCGCAGTAATTCCATCATCGCCAGGGGCTTTGCCGTTTTTAAGGTGCTGGAGAGCCACTAATCTCGCTCAGACTGGCGTCCGGAGATATCATCGGAATAGTGTCGGATAAGACTTGCTCTTAGATCTTTACTCACACTTGCGTGTGGCTCCAAAGATGACGTGTACAGCTGCCCATAGAACCTCTCAATCTCACTCAAAATCTCAGGTGTCCCGGAAACGATGCTGCCACATTGGGTCTTCAGCTTCGACAGTTGGCACTTTCTGGCAGACAGATCTCTGGCAAATACTTTGGAGCCCTGGTTCCGCTCGATCGCTTCTTCAATACGAGTAGTATTAAAGTTGCGTAAGTCCCGCCGCATGCATTTGGAGATCTGTCTGTTCAGTTGCCTGTATGCTGTCAAAACTACTGAAGACTGCAACTTCATTTCCCGTCTAACAGCCATGAGATTAAGAGTGTGAGTTTTTGTGTTTTTCTGCGGCGCGTCTTGCAAAACTTAGCTCCGACCGCATGGACAGTTTCCAAGAGCTTGTCATTTATATCGTCCATTGCATTGCAATCTTCTAGGTAGTGAAAACGATTTTGTAACTCGAGCTGAAAGGTTTCGGGACTTTGGATTAGAGCACGAGAGGTACGGAGCGTTGACTTCATTAGACGTGACCTCTCCAACTTAACGTTTAGGTTCAGTGTGCCTCTAACCATTCGGTGATCGCTACCAGTTTTCACCCTCGCAATCACTGAGATATCACTGAACAGTTGCCGTCTGGTCGTCATAATGAAGCCATTCTCATTTTTTATCGAACCGTCGGGGCTCGACCAGGTCCAGTTCCTGTGGGGCTGCTTCTGGAAGAAAGAGTTCATCATAAAGAGTCCCTCTTTCTCCATAAAGTCGGCCAGCTGCTGGCCCCTTGGGTTCCGTTGCTCTGTTCCAAATTTCCCTACCTTCAGCTCACGGTTCTCTCTTGTGTCTAGTTTTGCATTGAAGTCTCCCATTAACACCGTATTGTAGTGGGTTTTGGAGGAATGCATGGCTCTAGAGATATCCTCATACATTACCTCCATCTCCTCATCGGGATGTGCCGAGGTTGGTGCGTAAGTAAACCCGTATGACCTTCAGCGAATACCGTTTGGTGATTCTGAGTAAAAGGTACGCAACCTTCGTCAACACACTCCCAAATCTTTACAACGTTGTTAACAAGACACTTGTGAACGATAGATCCGACACCTCCTTGGGACAGATGGTCGCCCTCCCGGTGATAGAACAAGCTGCCGGATTCGAGGATTACCATGTCCTCCCCCTCACTTTGGACTTCGGATAATCCTATAATATTCCAGGGCAACTTATCTGTCTCTTGTTCCAGCTCCAGGATCTTCTCGTCAGTCCTCAGGTTTAGCTTAGGTGCGTTATTAGTTGATCCAGGTCGATTCGTTGTAGGTGGCAAGCAAACCTTCACCGGAGATTCTTCAATTTTTCTTAGGCGCTAGTAATTCATTTATTTGTATGTATTTGTTAATCAATAATATAATACATTTATCAATAATAATATACTACAATAGGAACTTCATTCCAACCGAGTGTTTTACGACACTCATGCATGTGTTTTTTTTATTTAAAAATGATTGTGTTAAACATGGCACTACATATTATCGACAATAGTGATGGAAATTTACTATGACCGACCTATATTTAGAATATATTTGGGAACTAAACTACTTTATTTTAGGATTAGCTATATTATAGCTGCAGCATGACTATTTCGGCATTTTTAGTTTAAAACGTTTAGTGCAGACGAATAACACGATCGATTGCTCTGTTCTTCGGTTAGCCCCTCGCTGTCTGAATCCGTCGTTAGATTTTTCGTGGTATCTAGCGCTCGTTTTTTAACGCCCGATGAAAAAAAGTGATGTTATATGTTTAATGTGTGTCTGTGTATCTGTGTATGTGTGTCTTTGTATCTGTGTGTCTGTGTATGGTATCATAGCTCCTGAACCGATGAACCGATTTAGATAAAGTTTATTTATATTGAAAGGTATCTTAATCGAGAGTGTTCTCAGCTATGTTTCAAGAATATCTGTTTAGCTATTTGAAGATCGTCAACTCTTTTTATTTCGGGGGTTTTATACATTTCTAATTTAAGTTATCGCAGAGTCGTTTTACTGGATGTTCGAGGCCCTGTAATCCGCTTGCTTACGACCTTAAAATAGTCCTTTAAAAGTATCTTATTATGACGCGTAAATTTCACCCTCTTTAGGTCCAGTGAATATCAGTACGAAGGCAAAACTAGTGGCGCCGGGCCTCGTGGCTCCAGGCACCGTGTCCCTCACGTCCACGGAGCTCTACTTCGAGGTGGACGAGGAAGATCCTGAGTTCAAGAAGATCGACCCAGAGGTAGGTGGCTCACAAAAATATTTATTAGTTGGTGTTTTATTATTATTTATTACAGCTTGTCGAAAGTCCACAACAGAACATTGGCCACTCCATAGTGTAAGGGTATCTCTAAAGTGGATCATAGAATTCTAAATAAAAAGAATCAACACAATAACAATATTTATTTCTAGTAAACTAAATCAATGCCACAGTATAACGAAATAACATAATATATCACCTCGTCACTCCGGCGGCGCGTCTCTGAATGATTCCCGATTGTTAAGAGCTAACTTTTAATCCACAGACACAATATTTGACGTTACTTTACCACAATCGATTCGAAACGTAATCGATTATTCTCTCAGGTATATTAAGACTTGACCATAGACTCTTTAGTATCGATGGAGTGATGTAAACAATTACTCCAATGTCAATTCTTGTTACAATAGGTTGCCAAAAAAGGGGGATATTTGCCATAGTTGACACGGTTAGCAGGCGGGTAGGCAAACGCAGTTTTTTTTTAAGTGAAATCTCCTTTAGAATCGTTGTGATTCGAAACTCGATGAATCGAAAAAGCGATACTAAAAAGAGACAAACGTATATATCTCTATGATTGAACCTGGGAGAGAATGAAATAGAATACATTATACAATGTTTCCTATAATGTATGGAGATTATGCATGTGATCCACTATGAGCAGTAAGAATTAAGAACGAAATTTGTTGATTAGAAAATATTTAAATTCTTACAATGATGAAAGTTTTGGCTGATGTGTAGGGCGTCAGCAACGACGCGTTGAATAGCACCATTTTTTTTATAACATGCCCACGGCTCGTAACATTTCATCTCGACTCAAATGACAACGTGCATGACTCTTAAAGCTCACACGGCACGTTAAATTAAAAAAAAAAAGAAATACAATCTAATCCCTTTTCGTTAATTAATATCAGTAGAACAATCATTAAGAATTTTAATTTTCCTTGACGTATCGAATTACTAACAATTTGACTGCCGTATTTTGTTATTTTTTTTTTTTGTTTTCCTTTATTTACATTTTTAAAATTTGAAAATAGAATAAAACACGTTTCAATCTGTACATAAACTTTTATTGAAACTAAAAAGAATTTAAACTATAAAATCGTAAATAATTTAGGATTAATTTATTTATATTAAAGGGATACCCCTAATTCTGTTGGTGTATTTTGTAGAATAAAATGTAAATTTATTCCTAAAATTGTAACAAATAAACCTTAGAATTATCCTATTCCTGATGCTCTGCATTTGTCTCACCTCTCGAAGTTTAGTTTTCTGAAAGTTTCACTTCTACCCCCTTTGAACTACACACATATGTTTTAATTTTAAATAGTATTAGGAAGACGCTGCATCCCATCTCGCAGTTTGTTTCCCACTGTCGCCTCTTACGACACCCACGGAATGATAAAGGGTAGTGGATATTCTTACACCGCCACTACACCGGTCATGGATATGTATATAGAATCATTAAATGATTGCTATTGCTTAAATTGTTAAAACATATTGCAAAAATATGTTTTACATGTTTTGGAGTTATTTGATTGAATACATTAAATCTTATGTTACGTTAGTTACGTTAGCCTATGATAATTTAACGACGCATTAACTTATTTTACTATTCATTTTATTAAGTTAGGTACTTTTTTTTTTATAGGAGAGGGGGCAAACGAGCATGCGGCTCACCTGATGGTAAGTGACTACCGCCGCCCATGAACAACCGCAACACCAGGGGAATTGCAGATGCGTTGCCGGCCTTTTTAAAAGGAGTAGGCTCTTTTCTTGAAGGTCCCTAAGTCGTATCGGTCCGGAAAAATCGCTGGTGGTAAACTATTCCACAAGGAAGTTGTGCGAGGAAGAAAACATCTTCTAAATCGCACAGTGGTGGACCGCCAATCATCCAGATGGTGTGGATGGTATCGGAAGTTCTGCCGCGATGTGCGTTCGTGAAATTTGGCGGCTGGGATTAATCCGAACAATTCCTCAGAGCACTCCCCATGGTAAATGCGAAAGAAAATGCTAAGAGATGCAACATCTCTTCGCAGTGCCAATGAGTCGGGCCGATCGGAAAGGACTCGGTCGTCGACGATTCGAGCCGCTCTGCGCTGGATGCGGTCAAGTGGAAGAAGCTGGCACTGGGGAGCCCCAGCCCAGAGATGGGAACAGTATTCCATGTGAGGCCGAACCTGCGCCTTGTAAAGTTGCAGGCGTTGAGCCGGCATGAAATACTGTCCCGCTCTGCTGAGCACGCCAAGCTTTTTAGAGGCCAATTTGGCCTTTTCTTCCAAGTGACCACGAAACTGCACGCTACTCGATATGTCGACGCCAAGGATTCCGATACTGGCTGAGGCAACAAGGGGAGTACCTTGAAACTGAGGAGATACGACAAAGGGGTTCTTTTTAGCGGTAAAGGCGCAAACTTGTGTCTTCTGAGGATTAAACTGGACTAGATTTAGTCGCCCCCAATCCGAGACTTTGTCCAGCAAAGACTCGACTTCAGACACAAGTTTGTTCCGGTACTCGGTGACGTTTTCCCGAGAAATATTGGCACGGCCGGTGTAGAGAGCATCACCAGTGCTGTCATCCGCATAGCAATTAATGCTACCGGCTTGCAACATATTATTGATATGCAGAAGAAACAGCGTTGGTGATAGCACGCAGCCTTGTGGAACACCAGCGTTAATAGGCTTGTAGTCGGAGCATGCACCGTCTACAACAACCTTGATGCTCCGATCTGCAAGAAAGCTGGTGATCCAATTGCATAATTTCTCGGGAAGCCCATAGGAAGGGAGCTTCGAAAGAAGCGCTTTGTGCCAAACCCGATCGAAGGCCTTCGCAATGTCCAAACTAACGGCCAATGCCTCCTCCTTGGACTCTACTGCCAACGCCCATCTATGAGTTAAGTAGACCAGAAGATCACCAGCTGATCGACCCCGACGAAAACCGTACTGGCGGTCACTAATCAGCTGGTGATCCTCAAGGTACCGCATGAGGTGGCAGTTTACAACGGATTCCATTATTTTGGAGAACAAGGGGGTAATGGCGATAGGCCTGTAGTTGGACGGGTCTGAGCGGTCGCCTTTTTTAGGGATCGGGTGGACAAAAGCTGTCTTCCATGATTTCGGGACTACGCCTAGGGAGTAGGAGTACCGGAAAAGACGCGTTAGAACCGGTGCCAACTCCGGAGCACACGTCCTCAGCACAATTGGGGGGATTCCGTCAGGCCCACTCGACTTGTGGATGTCAAGGGAGAGGAGTGCTCTGCGAACCGAGCGCTGTGAGAACCGCACATCCGGCATGGAGCACTCACACCGCGGGATGGTCGGCGGTGTGTTCCCCCCGTCATCAGCAGTCGAGTTGGACGCAAAAAGGGAGCCTAAAAGGTCGGCCTTCTCTTTTGCGTCGTGGGCCAGTGAGTCGTCCTCCCTGTGCAGAGATGGTAGTGATGGCTTACAGAAATTCCCTCGAACAGCCGTGGCGAGAGACCAGAATGCACGGGTTCCCGAAGGAAGGCGTACTAGTTTCTCGCCAATTCTGCCTATGTGCTCTGACTTTGCCTTGGCAATAACTCTTTTGAAGGACCTGGAGGCGAAGTTATACTTCTTTTTGAGCGTGCTGGTGTTTACATCCCGAGTTACCGAAGCCGCAGCCCAGGCTTGATAACACTCCTGATTACTGCGTAATGCAGTCTTACAGGAGCGACCAAACCAAGGCTGAGATCTGCCTCCGATGGGTACCACAGATGATGGAATAAATAGTTCCATTCCCTGTAGCACCACATCAGTGACAGAGTCAGCAACAGCGCTGAGATCGTCCGGCGAGAAGCAAACCCGCCCCCATGGGTAGGAAGCAAAGAAAGACCGCATTCCGTCCCAATCCGCCGACCTGTAATGCCAAACACGGCGGCAACCTGCAGAACGCAACCGCGAGGGGAGCGTGAGTGGCACCACACTCCGGATCAGACAATGGTCCGAAGAGCCAAGAGGGGCATCGACGGAAACCTGATATCCGTCCGGATGAGAGGTTAGCAGAAGGTCCAACAGGGAAGGTGTATGATCCTCAACATCTGGAATCCGCGTAGGCGATGTAACCAGTTGTGTCAGACCATATGCCAAGGCAAAGTCATAAACAGATCTCCCCGCATGATCGGTTAAACGTGAACCGAGCCATTCGGCGTGGTGGGCGTTAAAATCGCCAAGGATCACGATCTCTGCGGATGGGACCTGTTGTAGCAAGGAATCTGTAGCCATTTGGACGTGGTCGATGAGTCGGTCTGTTTCGGCATTACCGCTATGGGACCTATAGAGGCACACGTAGACGCGCGGATGGTCGTCGCTGTCTACGCGTAGCCAAAGGATGGACAGGTCCGAACCTTCAAGACTGCCGAGGCGTCGAGAACAGATGTCCTCTCTGACATACACGCAAACTCCAGCCCGAGGCACAAAGGAGTGCTCCAATTTGTACCCCGGGTAGGAGAGATACGAAGTATCAGCCGGAGAGGACACCTGCGTCTCGGTCAGAAAGGCAAGGCCGGCTTCGCCGTCTCAAGATGGTAGTGGACGGCGTTTAGGTTCGAGTGAAGTCCCCTGATGTTGCAGAAATTCACGGATAGCGTCGCAGGGGTCGCCTTGGTCTTGTTGCTCAGTTTGCCCCGAGCAGTTATTGTGTTGAGCGGAATTTTGCCCCCCCCCCAGAATACGCGGGGCAGCCTGAGCACCCACGCTCAGGAGTGGAATAGCACGGTCGTGGATGCTCAGCGAGGGATTCTCCAGGGGTACTGGTACCCTCCAGGGGTTAGTTTATGACGTAATTCCGCTACCATGTTGATGGGGGGGGGGGGGATTGGGCCTCCGGTCACCTGCACTCACCAGACGAAACGCGGAAGCAGAGCTTCCACTTCACGCCGGTATTCTGTGAGGTCGTGGTACTAACCCGGCTCGAGCCGGCCCATACGTGCAACAGCAAAAGCTGCTGCAAGGCTCTCGGTGTTA